CACACACACACACACATATATATATATGCATGCATGCATGCAAGGGACCTGCATGAAAAAAAAAACTTGACAAAGCTTTATGAGACCAAGAACCTCTAAAAATGTCGTTGAGCTAGTTTTTGTTGGTCATCTATTGTTGGGCATGGGGACTAGCCTTATATGTATACTCAGGGAGACTCCATTGTGTTAGGGATGTGGGCTTGTGTCCACTTTCCATCTCAGTACTGGGACCCCATCAGTCTCAGACCTTTGCAGGCCCTATGCAAGTTGCCACAGTCTCTGTGAGGTCATCTGTGCATTGGCTCTGCTGTGTTTAGAGGGCCTTGTTTCCTTGGTGTTCTTCATCCCCTCTGGACCTTCAACTTTTCTGCCTCCTCCTCTGCAGTGTTCACTGAGCGCTGAGAGGATGAATTTGATGGAGACGCCCCATTTAAGACTTGAGTGTTCCAAAGTCTCTCACTCGGCATTGTCCAGCTGTGGGTCACTGTATTTATTACCATCTACTTCAGGAAAGAGTTTCTCTGATAATGGTTGAGCAAGACACTGATCTATGAGTACAGCAGAGTGTCATTAGGAGCCATTTTATTCAAACATTACTTTAGCAGAACAGTAGTATTTGGTTTTACACTAGGTCCCTGGCCTATCCATTCTCATGTTCTTGACAAGCAAGCAGTTTCAGGTATGGGTTCCATCTCCTGGGGGGGCCTTAAATCCCATCAGATACTGACTGGTTACTCCCACAGGCTTTGTGCCACTGCTGCCATTAGTTCTTCTTATAGACAGGACAGCATTGTGGATTGAAGGGCCTGTATGCCTTTTCCCTTTGGTAGTGTGCAGAGCAATGTCCAGTAGCATGCACACTAGTCAGTAGGGGTGAAGGCTCTGTGTATGCACAGACTCGACTTCTCCATGTTCAATGAGTTGTGTAGATATTGTCTTCGGCAATAGGGCCTTACCATCAGTTTGTGGAGAGCAGCAACTACCCTTGGCAATAGCCTGGATCATTTGGGAGTTACTTTTTTCTTAACATATAAACAATGTGAGTAAAATATCTCTTCACAAATAAATACTGATATGGAAATACAGGAAACCTCACGATGAAAACAGGGTTCTCCTTTCATATAAGTGATTGTTTGCCCAAAAAAAAGGTAGTAGTCTCCAAGTTGAGCTTCAAGGACCATCACAAAAATATTTCTTCTTTAGGACAAAGAGAGAAAAGAGATAGGGGTAGTAGCAGTGTTGAGAAATGATTGCAAAACAGATTTTCCTAGAGACAGAAACACAGTGAAAGATAGTGAGTGTAGGACTTGCCAGGATGGGAAAGGAGTTTCTTAATACTGTTATAACAGATTACAGCGACTCCCTCAGTATCCACAGCAGAGTGCTTCTAGAATCCCCTCGGACCAAAGCATGGGGGAACTCAAGCTACTTGCACAAAACACCACAAAATTTCCATATAATGTATGCACTTTTCCCAATATACCTTCACCTGCTTTGGATTGCTTAAAATACTAAAACAAGGGGCTAGAGAGATTGCTCAGCTGTTAAGAGCCCTTACTACCCTTGAAGAAGACCTGAGTTTTTTTGATTCCCAGATATTGGCCCACAAACATCTGTAACTCCAGTTACAAGGGATCCCATGCTCCTTCTGAACCTGTCAAGTACGAAGCACGCATGTTGTGCACAGACATGCTTGTATGCAAAAACAGCTATGTACATAAAATGATAAATTGTTCGTTAAAAGGCTTAAAATACTGAATACTATATATAGACTGTGAAACTCATTAAATTCCATTGCTTGGGGAATGTTGGCAAGAAAAAGTTTGCTTAGTACAGGAACATATTTTAGAAAAAAAATTCCCATCCAGGGTTCCTTGAACATACAGAGGTGGAATAGGGGCTAGACAGAGGCAACTGTATTACAAATGTAGTAGCTTAAGATAATGCATATTTATTATTTTACAGTTATGGAGGTTAGAAATTACTTTAAAAGGTGACTAAGGCAAAGGTGTTCTGAAGGTTCCTTTCCTGGTACATCACTATGGGAGAATCTTTGGTTTTCTGCCCAGCTTCTGGAGACAGATTACATTCTATGGCTACTGTATTCCTTCCATCTTCGAAGCTAACAATGGACTTTCCAGCTCCTCTTTCCCTATGCTGCTTTCTTCAAACACAGAACCTTATGCCACACCTAAGTACTCTTGCATTTATATTGGGTAGAATAATCCAGCACAACTGTGTGTTAAATGCTGCAATTAATAACCATAGTTCCACCTGCAACTTCAATTCTCCTTGGTCAAATAACATATATTCACATATCCTGGGTATGGACTTGGGGCTGTTATTTTGCTAAACACTGAGTAGGTGCTTAAATGAATTTCTAAACGGGCAAGGCCAACTGCTTCAGTGTGGGCTTCATGTCACTGCTGATTTTCCCACAAAGCAAGCACAGAAAAGAGAGGACGAAAAGCAGAGGGAATTTTGTGGGTGAAGCAAAAGGAAAAGATTCAAAATCAGCCAGGTGTGGGTCTTAAGGGAAAAGATGCATGGAGGGTCCTTTCCCTGAGACATACAGTGAACCTAGGCAGTTAGCTATGGCTGAGATCCAAGCTAGTTAATCCCTCCTGGGTTTGCACGCTGTCAAATATGAAGGCTTGGACATGACTGGCAAGAGAAGATTTCAGAACCATTTGGCAAGGAAAACTGAACAGGCCCAAACTGGGTCCCAACACTTGGCTGTGGGACAGCTGAGAAGCAGGACTCTGACACCCTGCAAATACTGACAGGGAAAGAGCATTGTGGGATGGGCAATAAATAGCAGAAGGTATTGCTACTTAGATTCACTCTCTGTCTCAGTCTCTCTCTCTCTCTCTCTCTCTCTCTCTCTCTCTCTCTCTCTCTCTCTCTCTCTCTCTCTCTCTCTTTCTCTCTTTCTCTCTCTCTCTCCCCCTCTCTCTGTTTCTCTCTCTCTCCCTCCCTTCCTCTCTCCCTGTCTCTCCCTCTCTCCCTCTCTCTTTCATTCCCTCCTTTCCTCTCTGCCTCTGTCTCCCCTTTGGAATAGGGACAGTGGTGGGGTATGTAATGGAAGCCCCCATTTCAGAAGTGCCCTGATCCTCTTCATGGTTGCATGAACCAAAGAAAACATGGGAGAAACAACAGGAACCTACTGGCTGGCTGTTGCTAGGTCACCTGTCCCCTCTCAGGCTGCAGTACTGACAGTCCCCCTCCCCTTCCATTGGCGTCAAAAACGGGCGGAAAATGGGAGGGGGAGTAGAGATGAGTAGGCACTGTCCAGCCTCGTTCTGAGGTGCAGATGTAGCAAGGGGCCCACTCAGTATCCATCCGCTGCTCCCTCCTGCTCCCCAACTCCAGACACCCCCCTTCATATAGTCCGCCCCCCCCCCAACCCAAAGCCCTCATGGACCCTAGCTCTCAGCCATCCCACACACTGTAGTGGCGCCAGAAAAGTGGTGGTGGTCTCTGGTTAGGGCGAACAGGGGTCTGCAGAAGCCCACGGGCGCGACCCACCCCTCCGAGTGGAGGGGGGCTGCCTCCGGCCCCGCCCACTGGGAGTCGGAACTAGGGTGGGCCCGGGAGGGGGCGTCGAGCCCAGTGCGCCGTATCCCTCCGCCCCTTCCCGACACCCTCGAGGCGAGCTGCTCCTGCCGCATCCTGCGCAGCAGCCCCTGCCCGTTTGGTGCAGAGGCGTGGGGGCGGGACGCGGCTCTGCCATCGCACTCGCGCGCAAAGCGGCGGCGGCGAGAGCACTGTGCGAGGAGCTGCGGAGGACGGAGCACGGGCGGGAGCAGACGGGGACGCGGGGGAGCCCGGAGACCTGGGCCGTGCGCCTGGCCAGGCAAGTGGGGGTGTGTCGAGGGCTGGGGCGGCCGCGCACTGCGGACCACCGCCCGGCCCTGACAGTGCAGTGGAGGCGAGCGGGTCGTGGGGGCTCCCTGGAGTGGTGGCGGATCCCTGAGATCCTAGGCGGTGAGGAGGAAGCGGGAGCCCGGGTCGGGCCGCAGGCACGGGGGTGGGGGAAGGGCGGCTGGGTGTGATGGTCTGGAGTCTGGCGCGCCAGACAGCCTGACAGCCTCTCTTCAGGTGTCAGTCTGGGCCGTGGAAAAGATTATGGGGTAGGCGGCTGCGGGAGAAATGGCGGTGCGGGAATTGGGGGGGGGGCCGCGCCGGGAGCCCACGGGTGTGTGTATGTGGGGGGTGCGAGGCGGATGTCCAGTTCTGGGGCCAGCTCAGCTGGTGGGTGGTGAGTCGCCTTGGCTACTAGGGCTCTGATCTGTTTCCGGAGAGGGGCCCTTGTACCCTGCGCCCTGGGTGCTGTCCCTTCCCACAGGCTCCTGCTTGATGGCAAAGTCTCCTCTCTGCGCGGTAGGTCTGGCGTATTCTGACAGGCCACAGTGAGCATCAGTAGACCAGAGGCTTGAGGAAAGAGGAACAGGAAAATGGCGTGGATTTCTAGAGGTGTGTGGCAATGGGAGTGGGCGCCAGACAGTGATTGGAGATGCGAAAAGGGTGGGGGTGACAGACCAGAACAGGTGGGGTATCCATTAGTGTCTCCTAATCTCATTTCTCACAGCCTTTCAGGTATTTTCCCCAATGCCCTTCCCTCCTTCCCAAATTTGGGGTCTGAAAAGATGGTTTGGGCATGATGACGGAGTCATAAATCCAAGGACCACTTCAGAACCTGCCTTCTAGAATGTGCGGCGCCCTTCCCCCATTTTTTGCTGCGCAAGGCGAGGAAATGTGGCCACCTAGTGGCGCATCCTCAGAATTGCAGAAGGACTAATAAGTATGACATCAAGAAGTGGGTGTTACCACAGAAACCCTGCAGCCAGGCAAAATGGAACTAGAATGTTCCAGCAGTAGGACCCTAAATGCTGAAAGACACATGATCTGGTTCTTATCCTTGGTGGTGTTCTTCTCAGCCGGATCAGCTGCTGCCATCATTTCCCGATTGTCTTTCATTTTCATCTTTTTGTCCACAGGCCTGCTTTAAGGCTGGTAGTTCTTCAAGAAAGAAAGGAGGCGTCGAGGAGACTGTCTCAGATCTCTGGAGGTTGGTGAGACCCAGGGGCAGTGGAGGATCCAGGTACTGAGGAGACAAATGCAGACTGTTGTAACCCAAGAGGGTGCATGATGTCTTTACTGCCCCCTACATTTGCCTAGAGATGCTGCTATCATTCCCCGATTGTCTTACATTTTCATTTCTTTGTTCACAGGCCTGCTTTAAGGCTGGTAGTTCTGCAAGAAAGAAAGAAGACATCGAGGAGACTGTCTCAGATCTCTCAGGTTGGTGAGAATCAGGGGCAGTGCAGGATCCAGGTACTGAGGAGACAAGTGCAGACTGCTGTAACCCAAGAGGGTGCATGATGTCTTTACTGCCCCCTACATTTGCCTGGAGATGCTGCCATCGTTTCTTGATTGTTTTACATTTTCATTTCTTTGTCCACAGGCCTGCTTTAAGGCTGGTAGTTCTGCAAGAAAGAAAGAAGACATCGAGGAGACTGTCTCAGATCTCTGGAGGTTGGTGAGACCCAGGGGCAGTGGAGGATCCAGGTACTGAGGATACAAATGCAGACTGCTGTAAACCAAAAGGGTGCATGATGTCTTTACTGCCCCCTACATTTGCCTAGAGATGCTGCCATCATTTCCCGATTGTCTTACATTTTCATCTCTTTGTCCACAGGCCTGCTTTAAGGCTGGTAGTTCTGCAAGTAAGAAAGAAGACATCGAGGAGACGGTCTCAGGTCTCTCAGGTTGGTGAGACCCAGGGGCAGTGCAGGATCCAGGTACTGAGGAGACAAGTGCAGACTGCTGTAACCCAAGAGGGTACATGTTGTCTTTACTGCCCCCTAAATTTGCTCACTGCCACAGCATCCTTTATTTCCTTTCAGAGATACTAGGAATGTTGAGGGAGATGTGAGTTAATCTGTGATCCAAAAGACAAGAGCTGAGAGCTGAGACCAGGGAACATAAACTTTAGATAGAAAGCAGGTGTGGTTTTGTTATTGTCTGTTTGGGCTCAGAGATGTGTGCCTATATACCAAGCATTGAGACTCCATTTTCTTTTATGCATTTGTAGGACTCCCTGCCCTTCTCTGTTGGTCTTAACACCACCTGAACATAGAAAAGAGGAGGGAATCGCCCCACATCGGTGAAGGTTGGTATGGGAGAGGGTTCACTTTTAGATGGGGGTAGTAGAGATCACCCAAGAGTGACTACTGTGAGATTTGGGGGCTCCCCTCTGTCTTCATTTCTCGCGTGTGTACTGTTTGCTCACCCCCGTCCCTGTTTTCCAGCAGGCAAAGGGAACACTGAGGTTTTCTCATAGCTGAGCTCTTCCACTCAGCATCCTGCGCCAGTGTCTCTGTGTAAGTTTCAACAGGAGGCAACAGAATTGTAGAAGGCTGACTTCCTCTTTTTTTCTCTTCCTAGACCAGCTGCAGTGGCTGCTTGGTGGTGCCGGGGTTGCTGCTGACCAGCGCAGTCAACAGGTCTGCACCCACCTGGGACCTGTCCATCCTCCTCTGGCTTGGTTTCGCCTCTTCTGCACTGTATCTGTGTTATGGACTGAGATTGTGCTTGGGTAGGAGCCTCCTTGAGTGCCGGATTGGTGGTTTATCCCTGCTACTCACTCATCCAAAGATCAGTGTGTGAAGATACAGTACTGTGGCAGATCTATTGTTGAGACTGAGGCTTTGGTAGGCATTCTTAATTGAGCCTTCTCTCTAATTTTTACCATGACTGGGGCAGAAGTTGAGACTGGGTCTCAGGCCAAACCTGATAAGAAGCCTCAGGAAGAGGTTATGGGTGGGGCTGATCGAGAAAGTGAAGTCCCTATGGTGGTCAGACCCAAAGTCAGGCCCCAGGCTCCAGCAACAAGTGGAGCAAGGCCCAAAACTGAATCGAAATCTTCATCTCGGGCAAGGCCTAAAACTGAGCCCCAGTCAGGGTCTGGAACAAGACCTAAAAATGGTGCCCAGGCACTGCCTGGAGCAAGGCCTAGATCTGAGGCCCAGGTAATGACTGGTGCCAGGCCCAAAACGGATACCAGGGCAGTAGGTGGTGCTCGCCCTAAGACTGAGGCCAAGCCAATCCCGGGAGCAAGGCCTAAGGATGATGCCCAAGCATGGGCCCAGAGAGAGGCAATATCACGGGCTGGGAGAGCACCATTGTCTAATGCTGTCACATGGCCCCTGGTCAATGCTGAGTCTGACCCTTCATCAGTTACTAAATCTAAGAGTCTGTCTATAGAGAGAGAACTGGTCACTATGAACAGGGAGACCTTTCCTGGGACCCAGGGTCAGGCTGGAATCCAGCCCTGGTTTGGACCAGGAGAGGAGGCTAATTCGGGTTCTTGGTGCTATCCCAGGCCCAGAGCCAGGGAGGAGACTTCTAATGAGTCTGGGTTTTGGTCAGCAGATGAAACCTCTACAATGTCTTCTTTCTGGACTGGAGAGGAGACCAGTATCAGATCATGGCCCAGGGAAGAGGCAAATACTAGGTCCAGGCACAGGGCTAAACATCAGACTAATGCCAGGTCCAGGCCCAGGTCCAAACAAGAGCCCTATATTGATTCTTGGTCTGGGTCTGAGGATGAGGCGGGGAACCCATTCTGCTTTTGGGCTGGAGAAAACACCAATGACTTGTTTAGGCCCAGAGGCAGGGAAGAGGCCAATGTGAGACCGAAGATCAGGACAAAGAGGGAGGACTATTTTGAATCTGAATCTGAAGATGAGTTCTATAAAGAGTCCTGGTTTTTGCCTGGGGAAGAAGCTAATAGATTCAGGCGCAGAGACAAGGCAGAGTCTAATAACATCTTAAAAAACAGGAACCAAAAAGATGTTGAAAACGGTGACAGGGCCAAACAAGAATCCAGGTTTGAGGAGGAAGTGATTATTGGGTCTTGGTTCTGGGCAGAACAGGAGACTGGTTTGGAGACTGGAGCTTCAGCAATCTGTGAATCCGAACCAGGGGCTGAAGAGGGAGCCATTGGTGGATCTTTGTTCTGGACCGAAGAAAAGCCCACTTTGGGGGCTGCAGCCAGAGATGAGGTCAGGCCTGAGTCTGAAGAAGAGGCCATATTTGGGTCCTGGTTCTGGGATAGAGATGAGGCCTGCTTTGACCTAAATCCCACCCCTGTGTACAAGGCTAAGAGCAGGTTCAGAAATTCAGCTGAGGAGCTTAATGTAGCATCTAGGCCCAAAACCTGGGATGAAGTTACTGTTGAATTCAAACCTGGTATTTGCCGTGGGCTTGGCTTCCCCTTTAGAATCCCTGAAGGGGATTCTGAAAATACTGAGGCAAAAGCCAAGAATGCAGAACTTGGTGCAGAAGGGGAAGAGCAGGAATCTGGGCTTCAGCCTGATCTGCCTGAACCCGAGTTCCCATTTCAGTATGATCCCTCTTACCGTTCAGTCCAAGAAATAAGAGCGCATCTTAAGGCCAAGGAAAGTGCAGACCCTGCGAACTGGTCTTGCAGCTGCATACAGTGTGAGCTTAAAATTGGCTCTGCAGAGTTTGAGGAGCTCCTTCTGCTAATGGACAAAATTCGTGATCCTTTTATCCACGAAATATCTAAAATTGCAATGGGTATGAGAACCGCTTCTCAGTTTACCCGAGATTTCATTCGAGATTCTGGTGTGGTCTCACTTATTGAAACCCTGATGAATTATCCTTCCTCCCGAGTTAGGACTAACTTTTTGGAGAATATGATCCACATGGCTCCACCTTATCCGAATCTAAACATGATTGAGACATTTATATGCCAAGTGTGTGAGGAAACCCTTGCACATGGTGTGAATTCGCTTGAGCAGCTAACTGGAATAAGGATGCTTAGACACCTCACTATAACTACTGATTATCACACACTGATTGCCAATTATGTGTCTGGGTTTCTCAACTTATTGACCACAGGCAATGCAAGAACAAAGTTTCATGTTCTGAAAATGCTGTTGAACTTGTCTGAGAATCCTATGGTGGCAAAGAAACTATTCAGTGCCAAAGCTCTGTCAATATTTGTGGGTCTCTTCAACATAGAGGAGACAAACGATAACATTCAGATTGTTATCAAAATGTTTCAGAATATCAGTAATATTGTAAAAAGTGGAACAATGTCTTTAATCGATGACGATTTCAGTCTTGAGCCACTTGTTTCTGCATTCCATGAGTTTGAAGAGCTGGCTAAACGGCTGCAAATCCAAATAGACAATCAAAATGATCCCGAGGAGGGACAGTGAAGTCAGTGTGATTAACCGCCTGCCACTGATCAGCCTTATGTTCCCAAAGAGCCCCAAGTAGTGCTTCGGTGTTCCCAGTCTGGTCCTGTGTTGTAACTTATATTTTTAATGCTAATGTTAAACTTGTCAAACTCTTGTTGTGAGCTGGATCATTTGTGGATGCCAAAATGAATATCAGAACTGAAAACACATTTGTTGCTATTTGTCTTACTGTCCAGATTGTGGTATTTTTAGTGTTGAGCTCCCAGTGAACCAAGTCATATGAGTAAGCTATCTTGCTATGTGTTCTTTAAACATGTGGTTCTCTACTTGAGTCTGTGTTTTCAATAAAGTTCAATGTTGAAATTGCCATAAATGACCCTTCTTCACTTTCAAAACCAGGTGCAGATACATCATACACATTCCAAAATAAATGATTAGTATTAGAACAAATACATGCTTACTAGAAAATCCTATTTTAGGAAGGGAGATTACTGTGGGCTTTGGCACTCAAGAAATGCTTCAAAGAAGTGGGACCTAGAAAGTCACTGAACAGTAAGCATTCTTGGAAATGAACCATGGTGGTGTGAAGGAAAGTGTGTGGTAGGAAAATCTGTTCCAGTAACATGGGTAAAATAAGTGAGAGGAGATGAGAAAGTAATACAGTTGGAAAATTAGGATAAGGTAAGTTTTGAGCAACTGGGTAATCCAAACAGTAGTTAACAGTTCCAAGTATAGGTTTTGCTTCAATACTACCTAAAGGGTGAATGAAAAGGACACTAACTCAGTGGTTCTCAATCTATGGATTGTGACCCCTTCGACAAACCTCTGTAGCCAAAAAATATTTGCAGTTTATAACAGGAGCAAAATTATAGTTGTGAAGTAGCAACAGAAATAACTTTATGGTTGGGGGTCACCACAACATGAGGAAATGTATTAAAGGGTCACAGTATTAGGAAGGTTGAGGACCACCGTGTCTAATTAAATGGGCTCAGAAGTAATATTTCTTGTATGATGATAGTCCAAGGAAAGTATTAACCATCGAAATAACTATGTATGGATTGACTTATTGACATGAAACAACATTAGTAATTTAATATATAGTAACTAGAGAAGAATTGGACGTCATATTTGAAAAATTAGCTATTACTTTAAAAATTGTGTATAAATAAAATGTCTGAGCTCATTGTGACTAAAGCAGCTTCATATAGCCCTTATCTGAATTAAAATATACAAAGTTAAATTCTTAGAGACGGGCATTTAAGAAACACAAAATTTAGCATAACATACAAAAGTTAATACGTTCCCATCTAATGTGACTCTGGTTGTAGACGGGCATGCCGGGAAAGGGTATGTTTGTATAAATGATGAACCTAAAGTGTTAAAAAAAAAGTTAGAGATAAAGTGATTTAGAAAAGATACAGATGAATGAGACCTCAGAACCAAGATTACTAAGTTTGTATTAGGCTGTTGATGGTACAAAAAATGAAATTTCTCATGTAATTATTACACTCAAACAATCATAACATTTCCTTTTTTAGGTGGCAACAAAATTCTGCAACTAGACAGTGGGGATGGTTGCAGCACCCTTGAGAATTTACTTATGTCACTGAATTGTACACTGTAAACTGATTAAAATGGTAAGTCTTATGTCCTGCATATTTTGCCACAACCAAAAAGTCACAGCCTACAACAAGCCTTCATAGAGGAGTATTTCACAAGTCAGGAAATAGAAAAATTGTGCGAAACAGAAAACTTTTCGTCATTTTTAGACAGGAGAAAAATATTTATTTTCTTTGGTCTGAGAATGCTATATACTTTCAAACAGATAAAATTGTGACTTGTATTAATAAAATGGGAGCATGGTGCAAGAATTTTACCAACACAATGAACAACTGCTAAGATCAAAAAACAGTCAAAGGGGATAGATGTGTATTCCATATACACAATATAAAGTTAAAAATTATATATCGGAATCAAATGATAGGATAATATCACAGAATTATACAAGCTGATTACCATCTTACATGCAATACCTTGAACATTTAATCCATACTCTTGGACAAATCTTTTTCTATATCTAGTAAGCATAATATCTACAAATGAATATCAGGCTTAATCAAGGCTAAAACATAGCTCAATCAATAGAATATGGAGTCCCATGGTGTACTAAAATAGTATCTAGTAACCTGTGTTGATTTTGCCTGAACATTGTAGAATGTACCTGCCAGTGAAACATTTTCCCGTTTGATTTTAGTATATGAAATTTAGAAATAGGACAAAGTGGCAATTTAGTCTCCCTTTACAAACCACAAACCTTAACAGGAATAGTCGTCATGGTAGGAACTAGAATTTACAAGTTCATTTTGTTGATATATTTCAAGATTTTCTGTGTATGGTTTCACATGTTTGAACATTATACAAATTACTGCTAAAGAATCATTTCATGACCCAACTCCTCAGGGAACCTTTTTCTTTTAGGCCAAGCACTCTTAGAGAGCAAGCCCCCAGGCTTCAGGCTGGAAGCTTTGACTACTAATCCAGCTAGCCTTCTGACCATTTTCAAGGTAAGGAGGTTCAGGTTCTTCTGGTAAGGAGCTCAACTCCAGAGGCAGGATATTGTTCTGTTCTCCGTGCTTCAGAGCTACTACAGATGCTCTGTAGTCTTGCTGGTCTGATGTGGTGTTGTCTATGTGTATGTTTTTGTGGAGATGAGGCTTTTGCTTGGACACAGAGAGAGGCATGTTTACTGTCACAGAGAAGGACAGGAAAGGCATATACCTGACAATTGGGATAGGTAGAACAAGGGGCAAGAGGTTAAGGTGGTTGAGCTGGTGTCCATGCTGTGTTAGCTTGAAAACCATTTTTTTATGTGTCCAGAATGATAGTATTGATTGGATGGAAGAGATAAGCCCTCAGTCAGTCAAAGGCATGTTTGCCAGATCAGGAGCTCAAGAAGCTGGTACAAGTCATCCTGGAGGATGAATTCCTGTGGAGAAACAGCAGTTACTACTGAAGTATGTGGGATCTGAGAAATGGCATCCTTTGGGTGGTAGTGATTCAGACTAGATGGTAGTGCTGGAAATGCCTTAGACCATCTCACTCTCTCCTGTCTTCTGAATACCATTTCATTCCATCTCTAGGCTCCTACCCCATGCTATATCTGTATCTCCTCTCTCTGTCTCTGTCTCTCTCTCTCCCTCCCTTCGTCCCTCCCCTTCCCCACCCTGTGTGTGTCGGGGAGGGAGGTGATGACCTTACAGGTAGAATTGGCTTTAGGAACCCAGAGAGGGGAAACAGTGCAGTAACAGTGGTTATACTGCCACTCTGCTCCCCATGATGTGGCCTGATTTCTGATTTCTGTCTGATTTCCTTAATGGCAGCATCCAGCCACTGGAGATGTCTCAGGGCAGCTCACAGTGTGGCGAGGAAAAGAGCTCACATGGTATCTGCCTTTTCCTCCAGGGTTCCAAGTGGCCAGGGATGGACTAGAGAAAAATCTAGGGATGAAGATAGGACACATAGAGTGAAAGGGAGAAAATCTAGGTGCTTTTTGCTTTTCCATGGGATTTCTCATTGGGATTCTCTAATCTTAACCTCTAAAAGGTTAAGTCCTGGATCTCAGTCCCAGGCAGCAGCTCCTTCCTATTTAGAAAAACATGCCGGTAACTCTTGTGAGACTCCCTTTCTCTGCTCTCCTGCATCTGAGATACTTGTCTTTGGGGGTCCTATACAAATTACTTCCTAAAAAAACCTCATAGGTTTTATTCTGCACACTATTTTCTATCTTCCTTGTATTTTGCTCATTGTTCATTTCTGAGGATGCGTTCCTTTGTTTCCATCCTAGACAGCAGCCAGTTGGTACATTCCTGTGTTTTCTGAGTACTCCTCCATATCTTCTGAGTACCAAGTAAATGAAAACAGTTTCTCAGTTCACATGACAATAAATGTGTGTGTGCTTTTTTTTTAAACCACGTAGTTTTTCCAGTTCTCTGAAAACACTATGTACATGGCCTACAATTTAATTCCAATGCAATGCTAACTAAAGCTAGTAAAGGCTCCACGATTTAAGGGCTCTGTGTCACAAGATTGCCTCCAGTGTCAGATTACAATCACACATGGTGAATCTTTGGGTTCCTAACACTTCTCTCTGACTTGGCTACTAGTCACTGGTTTCTACAACCATTTTCATGTTCAGAAATTTGTCACAAATACTCAAAAGAAGCCATGGAAACCCTTTTTTTCTTTTCTTTCTTTCTTTCTTTCTTTCTTTCTTTCTTTCTTTCTTTCTTTCTTCCTTCCTTCCTTCCTTCCTTCCTTCCTTCCTTCCTTCCTTCCTTCCTTCCTTCTTTCTTTCTTTCTTTTTTCCGAGATAGGGTTTCTCCGTATAGTTTTGGTGCCTGTCCTGGATCTCGCTCTGTAGACCAGGCTGGCCTTGAACTCAGAGAGATCCGCCTGGCTCTGCCTCCCGAGTGCTGGGATTAAAGGTGTGCACCACTGCCACCCGGCGCCATGGAAGCCCTTTAATGTTACTAGTTTATAATAAAATATTCTAAAGTCTGTGAGTGACAAGGTAGATGAGATGGTACTCGGGGCAGTGTCTAGAAGGGTAGAAGATACAGGAGATGCTGTCCCCAAGGAGTTGCAGTGCTCTACCATTCGAGTACATGAGTGCATTCACCAATCAGGAAACGTTCAGTTTCTATTAATTAAAATCATTAAAGCAGTTCAGTTATATAGACTAGATTAATTAAATAACTGACCTCTGGTGATTAACTCAATCTCCAATTCCCATTGCTGTCCCTGAAAATTAGGGGATGTGGCTCAAAGTTCCAGCTCTCTAAGCATATCTTGTTTGTTTTTGTTTTTGTTTTTGCTGGTGACCAGCCCTATCTTAATGCTACCTAGGAGCCACCAAAATCTCATCAGCATGCAAGTTTCCAAGGCTTGAAACTTGAAAAATTCCAAGGCTCTTTTACTCTTAGAATCTCATTTATTATGGAGCAAGGAACTAAGGCCAAATGTTAAAACATGCTCATATTGTATCTGTTACTGAGGAAACTAAGACTTTATGAGTTCTGTGCCAAGAGCTAAGGATGAAGATCCCTGCCTCCTCTCTTTATTTTTGACAGATCATAGTTGTCCATATTTAGAGGGTACACTGTGATAATTCAGTATATGTATACAATGTGTCACGATGAAATCAGAATAATTAACATTCCTATCTGCCCAAGCATTTGTTGTTGTTCTCTACCTTCTGTTCAGCAGAATTCTTGTAATACTAGTGTTCATTCAGTGTTGAGGTTTTCCTCTCAAGACCTGTTTTTCCTTGTCCATGTCAGTGTGTTCTTCTTAGAGAAGATTGCAAGCATGGTGTGTCATAGTAAAGACTATCTGATCTCCACCCCTGGTTCTTGACACAGAGCTTAAAAAGCCTTGAAATGTCCTGACATATAAGAGTAATAAGATGTCTTTGTTGTGCTGTAGGATGTGGGCAGTCACCAGAAGGAAAGATCCTATAATTAGAAGTTTGGAATTTGGGACTATCTCAAGGTCCAAGGAGGAAAGTGGGACTAAGTATTTAATTCAATCACAGTGACACTCAATAATGCTCATATAATGAATCCCTTCCCAAATACTTTAGTTTGTTAGGGAGTTTGCTTATTGGACTTGCTATACAAGTATGAGAATTTGAGTCGATATTCCTAACATCCATGTAAAAAGCAGGGTAAGTGTGGTGACACACACTTGTAAACCCAGAGCTGAGAGGCTGAAAGCAGGAGGCCAAGACAGAAGGACCCCAAGGCTTTCTGGCCAATCAGTTTAGCCAATTGGTGAGTCGCAGGTTTTGTGAGATATCATCTCTCCAGAAATAAGGTGGAGAGTAATAGAGGAAGATTCTCCATGCTGGCCTCTTGCCAAACATACTTACCATAACCCCCCCTACACACACACACACACACACACACACACACACACACACACACACACACACTAAAAGTAAATTAAAAATTCTTCTTTTCGAGGCTAAGTAGAGGTCACTGGTTCATAAATATACTGTTATGTAGGAAAGGGAGATTAAACCCTGACTCCATATGGAGTGAGCATAAAAGCTGTGGTTAAGACCCTTCCACACCTTGTCCTATGTGAATTATTCCAGCAAATTATGAAACCCAATTTTGGAACCCCTACTTTTATAACTTGTCAGTAGGAAATATGGATGATCTGAGATTTATGACCGGCATCTATCTCATTGGGTGATGGTGATCACTTTGGTGACTGTGCTCTTCAATATCTGGGGTCTGACTCCAACTCCAATAAAGCCAACATTTGATCCTATACACGTCAGATTAAGTTACAATGGAGGAAGAGCCTACCTGTATAGTATACATAACATTACAATATATGACTTTGTGCCATTCACTTAGAATTTGGGTAATTTCTAAAGTTATCAATCTTATATTTTATCAACACATTCATTCTGGAAATCTTGTCACTATTATATTAGTGTTTGTGGAACTTAAAATTTTAGACTGGCAGGTTATGTCTAGGTTCCATAGCTACTGCCAAGCAAATATTTAACCCATTCATGCCTGTCAAATTGTTAATTACAGCTACATAACAGATGTGTGTATGCACATAAGTGCATGTGCTAAGAGGGAAAAATAACAATCATGATTTTTTAATCACTCCTTAGGTATTTGGAGAGGGCAGGATTATCTCCCAAGTTTTTTTCCAGTTATGAACATTTTTAAACTTTTAATCTCTAGTCCTATCTTTTAACTTGGAATATAGTGTTACAATTTGGAAATTGAAAGGTTGAGCTTTAAGAAAGGCTGGCGAACCTTGAAAACCTTAATAGAAAATTAGTTGATATTTTATAAATGAGATCTCACTGAAGATTGTTCTTTTGAAATTGATGCAGAGTTAAGGACTGTCACCTGTGCTGCAAGAAGACACACATTTCTTTTTTTGTTTTGTGTTGTTTTTCTTTTTTACTTATTTCATTCATAACTAGAAAGATGACAAATCTCCTTTGATGATAACATTTTAGGGCAGGTAATATCTGAACTGGTCCTGATGTTACATAAAATAGCCTATGATATTTATCCAAAAGGGTGAGAGAAGATAACTATATGAATGATGAGATTTTTATTCTTTTTTTTAAAACATCTTTCTTTTATTTTTAAAGATTTATTTATTATGTATACAGCATGTTTGCCTGCAGGCCAGAAGAGGATGCCAGATCTCATTACAGATGGTTGTGAGCCAGCATGCGGTTGCTGGGAATTGAACTCAAGACCTCTGGAAGAGCAGTCAGTGCTTTTAACCACTGAGCCATCTCTCCAGCCCCGAGATTTTTATTCTTATCTAAGGGGAAGGATTTGATGGAGACATCTCATTTAGGGCTAAGTGTTCCAAGGTCTCTCACTCTGCATAATGTCGGGTTGTGGGTCTCTGTATTTGTCCTCATCTACTGTAGGACGAAGCTTCTCTGATGATGACTGAGCAATGCACTGTTTTATGAGTATAGCAGAATGTCATTAGGAGTCATTTTATCACTATATTTTTTCTTGTTTTGGACTAGTATTATTTAGTTTTGCCCTATGTCCCTGGGCTATCTAGTCTCTGTTTCTTGGTCATCCAAGTAGTGTCAGGTATGGGTTCCATCTTGTGGAGTAGGCCTTAGGTCAAATCACTTATTGCTTGGTTACTCCCACAGACTTTGTGACACCATTGCCCTAGCATATCTTGAAGGCAGGACACCATTGTAGATTAAAGGGTTTGTAGCTGGCTTGGTGTTTGTTTCTTTTTTGATAGCGTGCAGAGTACCTTCCTGTACCAAAGACCAGCTTGACATCTCCAGGTTCCATAAGTTGTGTAGCTTTTGTCTTCAGCAATGGGGCCTTGCTGTCAGGTTGTGGAGAGCAACCTATAGTCTTGGCAACAGCCTGAGTTGTTTAGGGATATCCATGGTGACCGTTTGGATAATTCAATTAGATGTAACCCAATTCCAGTACTGGAAGCTTTGTGTGGTGACAGAAGATGGCCAGTTGGGACTCTGTCTTCCCCATGATTTGGCAATTTCATTTAGATCACCTTCATATATGTATTTATTTCCAGGAAGTTTACTGTATTAGGTTTCCATACTACCCCTCAAATGCCCCTTAATTTTAGCTCTTTTCCTGCATTCCCTCCCACAACCCTCTGTATCCTCCCTGTCCCTACTTGATCTTCCCATTCCTGCCCCCACTTTCATCCATATCTAGCTATTCTATTTCCCTTTCCTAAAGAGAGATATCTGTTCCTTCTACCCCATTACTCTATACCTACCTTCTGCAGTTCTATGGATAAAGATTCTCAAATATAGCCCACTAAATCAACTAAGCAGGCCTCATATGGACTCACAGAGACTAAAACAGCAAGCATGGGGCCTGAATGGGTCTACACCAGGTCCTTTGTGTATATGTTATGGTTGTGTAGCTTGGTCTTCTTGTGGGACTCATAACAGTGGGAGCGGATGTGTCTCTGAGTCTTTTGCCTGCTCTTGGGACTCTTTTCCTTCTATTGAGTTGCTTTGTCCAGCCTTATTATGAGGGTTTTTACTTTGTCTTATTGTATCTTGTTTTGTCCAGTTTGGCTGTTGTCTCTTGGAGGCCTGCTGTTTTCTGAAGAGGAAACAGAGGGGGAGTGGATCTGTGGGAAAGCAGAGGTGGTAGGGAGCTGGGAAGAGCAGAGAGAAGGGAAACTGTGGTTGGGATGTATTGTATGAGAGAAGAATCTATTATCAATAATTAAAAAAAGATTCTGCATATAAATGAGATCATGTATTTCTATGCTTCATTTTTAATATAGTGGGTACTATGTTCTTTTAAGGTGTTATAATAGAATTTCATCATTTTAAACACTGATAGTATTTCTTTCTGTACATATGATATTTTCATTATCTAGTTATCCATTGATGGACATGTACTTTGATATGTTATATTAGCTCCTATAAATAATACTGCTCAATAAATAATTAACTTAACAGACTTAGATGTATACCAGAGGTGGGATTGTTGGATCACATGTATTTCCTTAAGCTACCCTTTTCGCATAATTAATAACACTTATTTGTAGCTAGAGTTTTCTCCAGTCCTGCCTGGCCCATGGTCAGGACAAATCTCTCTCACCTGCCAGTCCTGCAGCCGCTTAGACCCAACCGAGTAAACACACACAGACTTATATTACTTATAAACTGTATGGCCGCAGCAGGCTTCTTGTTATCTAGTTCTTATATCTTAAATTAACCCATTTCTATTAGTCTACAAGTTGCCACGTGGCTCGTGGTGGCTGGCAGCATCTCTCTGACCCAGCCTTCCACTTCCCAGAATTCTCTTCTCTCCTTGTCCCGCCTATACTTCCTGCCTGGCTACTGGCCAATCAGTGTTTTATTTATTAACCAATCAGAGCAACACATTTAACATACAGAACATCCCACAGCACTTAAATTATATTTTTCATTTGGATAATAGCCACTCTGACTAGAATCATGATGTGCTGGTTGATTTTTGTCAACTTGACACAAGCATTGACATATCTGGGGAGAGGAAACTCAATTGAGAAAATGCCTCCATTAGATTGCCTGTAGATCATTTTCATGGTTAGTGACTAATATAGTCTTTAATCTATTTTAAGTTGATTTTGTTTTGTATATGGCAAGAAATGAGGATCTTGTTTCATTTTTTCATTTTTCTGCAGGTGGATATCTGATTTTCCCAGCACCGAAATTGAAAATATTGTCACTTCTTTTTTTGAAAAGAAATTTTAATTGCATTTTTTTCGTGTGTGTGTGTGTGTGTGTGTGTGTGTGTGTGTGTGTGTGTGTGTGTGTGATTTTTGAAGGAGGTTCACGTGGAAGTCAGAGGACATCTTTCAGGAGTCAGGTTTTCTTTCCATCATGTGGATCCTGGGGATTGTTGAGGAATACACTGTAAAGATGTGTCTTTGCCTAAGGCACCTTCTGATTGGTTTAATGAAGAGCTGAATGGCCAATAGCTAGACAGGAAAGTATAGGCCAGACTTCCGGGCAGAGAGAAAACTCTGGGAAGAAGAAAGGCAGATTCTCTAGTGAGATGCCAGGGAGACACTGAAGAGGTTGGACATACTGTGCAGAATAGAGGTAACCTAGCCACATGGCAGAATATAGATTAATAAAAGCTGGTTAATTTAAGTTATAAGAGCTAGTGGAACAATCCTAAACTAAGGCCAGGCTTTCATAATTAATAATAAGTCTCCATGTCATTATCTGTGGACTGGCGGTCCACAGAAAGGCTGACAAGAACGCTTGCTACAGTTGTCAGGTTTGACAATAAGTGCCTTTGCCTGCTGAGCTGTCTTGCCAGCCCCTGTGTTCTTTCTTTATTGTGTATTCTTAGCACCTTTGTAAAAATTCAGTTGGCTATAGATGCACAAATTTCATTCTAGGCTTTTTAATCCAGTCCATGTGTCTGCTTTGATGCCAATATCATGTAATTTGGTAACTGTTGGTTTGTAGTCTGTTTTAGCTCAGGTAGTGTGATGACTCCAGCTTTGTTCTTTTTGTGCTGTTTGGCTTCAGCTAACAAGTTCTTTTGTTGTTTTTTAAAACTTATTTTTGTATATTTTAATTAAAATATCACTTTATCACTTTGTACCTTTTCTTTGTTTCCTTCAGTCCCTCATAAGTTTCCTCCCTCCAACTCCTACCATAAACCCACACTGTCAAATTGATAGCCTCTTCTTCACTGATTATTATTATTAGTGTGTGTGTGTGTGTGTGTGTGTGTGTGTGTGTGTGTGTGTGTGTGCATGCGCGTGTGCACACACACACGTACAAATATATAAATACATCTCACTGGTTATGTTTTTGTTTATTGTGTGTATATGGCTTCAGGGCTGACCACTTTTTATTGGATGGCCAATTACTTAGCTCATCTCTGGGAGAGGCTAATTCTCCCTCTCTCAGCAGTCATCATCATGTCTGTAATTCCTTGTACCATGATGTGATCCTGTGAGATTTTTCCCCCATCTGCCTTAGCATGTCCATTGATATTGCCGTTCTTCAGATCTTGTTCATGCATCCATTTCTATTGGAGACTTCCTGATACTCTGGTTTTAAAAATCTTTCATCTCCCTCTTCTATGATGTTTCCCGAACCATAGATGAAGGAACTGTGATGTGCACACACACACACACACACACACACACACACACACACACACACACACGCACACGCACACGCACACGCACACACTGAGGTGAAACTCCCCAGGATTCATTGATCTCTGCATGTGTCCAGTTGTGGCTTTCTGTGATAGTTTCCATTTGCTGAAAAGAGAAGCTTCTTTGATGAGGGGTGGTAGCTTATTTAGTTTCTGTGGTTACTCCATGTTATATACTCATTCATGAAAATTTGGAGCTAGAAACTGCAGATGAGAAAGAATGTGTAACATTTGTCTTTCTGGGTCTGAGTTACTTCATTCAATAAGTCTTTTCTAGGTCTATGCATTTACCCACAAATTTCATTTTTCTTTATAGCTGCATAGTGTTCCATTGTGTGCACATCTTCATTATCCATTAATCTATTGAGGTACATTTAGGTTGCTTCCATTTCCTAGTTATTTGATTAGGGTGGCAATAAGCATGGCTGAGCAATTATCTGTGGAGTGAGATTTTGAGTCCTTTGGATGTATGCCAAGGAATGATACAGCTAGGTCATATGGTAGATTTACTTTTAGTATTTTGAGAATTCTCCATACTGGTTTCCAGAGTGGCTGCACCAATATGCATTCCCACCAACAATGAATGAGGTTCCATTTTCTCACAACTGTGCCAACATTTGTTGTCATTTCTTTTGTTTATCTTAGCCATTCAGACTGGGGTAAAATTAAACATCAAAGTTGTTTTCATTTGCATTTCCCTAATTTCTAAGGATGATGAACATTTTTGAGGTATTTTTTAGCCCTTATTTTATTTCTTCTTCTTTGTTTAGATCCTTAGCCCATTTTTAATCAAGTCATTTATTTCATTGACATTTTTTGAGTTCTTTGTACAATTTAGCTCGGACCCTCCTTTTCTTACAGCCTTACTAACTTTATAGACCTCTAACTCCTTACCTAACCACTACTAGGAATATTTAGATAACCTTCTGCGCTGACAGCTATGCACAGCCAGAACCCCAGTTCAAGCCTCCCTGTAATTATCGTCATTGGCAGCATCTGGCCAGGTCCATCCCCAGATGGAGGAAAGTACCTTATAAGAGATACCTCTGTACTCTCTAAGAACAGACTTAAGCATTCAGGCTACCCGTTTGCGAGGGCCTGGAGAATGTGCCAATTAAGCTTAACTCTCTCCTTTCCAAAGTCTTATCTCTAGCTTTAGATCCACCCTTAACAATTAACTCAGAACTAAAGGGTTCCAACTTACAGGTACATCTAGCTGTGATGGAAGTTGCCTAGCCAAGTTGCCTAGTGATGGAGCACACTCACCAGAAATGGCGGGAGCAGAGATAGTTTGGAGAGATAAGGGTCAAAGGGATAAAAAGACAGTTTTATTTTCAGAGGAGGAGGATAGAACTTAGAGGTATGAGGAGACAGAGAGGAAGAGAGGAGTGGAGAACTTGAGGATGGAGAACTGAGAGGGATAAGAAGGATTTTGACCAGAGAGAATGTGTGGATGAGATGGAAGATGAGGAAGATCCAAATGGGGAAGTAAGTACTAGCTGGCTAAGAACAAGATGAGAAGGACCTAGATGAGGCAGAATTAAGATGAGAGAATTAAGATAGAATTTAGAGGGAACAGTAGATAAAGATAGAGAGAAATCAGGCAAGAAAGGAGCTAGGCACGAGAACAGAACTGAAGCTGTGTAGATAGGATTTTATCTCAGAGGAATAAAGTAGACGGACAAAGAGCTTGGTGTACTTAGATTCATTTCCCAAAAATAATTCTCACCATTCATAGTTCTCTCTCCTGAGCCCTTGGGAAGTATAATATTAAGGCTGGTCCTTTTAATATTATACAAGTATAGGTTCTTCTCTAGGCTCCATGATCTCACCAGTGACAGGTTTACACTACCAGGCACAAGATTCTTTCTCTTAAGCAGGCCTTACTAAGTTCAATTAGAAAGTTGTTGACTATCCTTCACGATATATGCTCCACTATTGCACACTTGGGGTATCTTGGTCTTCTGGTAATTGTTGTGGTTCCTAGGCATTACAACTCGGTAGGGCTATTGATTGTTGTCCTTTGTTGGCATTGGCAGTGCACAGCACCTTTGGAGACTATGTAAGCTAGTCTTCAGGAAGGAAGCCTCCAGGTCAGATACAGCTCAGTTCCTCCAAGTCCTGTTTGAAATGTATGGTGTCTTCAGAAACGGGGTTTTGTCTTCAGGTTCAGGGCAATTGCAATAGCCTCTGTTGCTTGGGAATCTCATGAACTAACAACTCGAAGGAAAGTTTTCCATGCCTAGCAGTGGGATTTTTGTTAGATGGTCTATGGTTTTTTAGGGGAAGCCTTATCCCTCCCAACTGTCATAACTGCATGCAAACTGTGTGTGTACACTTAAATATTACACATATATATTAAGTAAATATATGACATTTCAAACATCCTTAGTATTATTTATCTCTTACTTCCTCTCCCTCTGTATTGCCCTCCCTCCCTTCTCCCCACTTAAAGCCCCCTCATTTTTCCCATTTACCCATTCATAGTACCTGCGCCTACCCCTCTCTCTAGAGTACCCCTCCCCATGGTCCCTTTTCACTTTCCTGGTTTCTGCAGTTACTCCAGGTTATATATTGATGTCTAAAGATGCTGAGTTAGGATCCCTAAATAAGAGACAACATGCAATGTTTGTCTTTCTTTGTCTGAGTAACCTCACTCAATTGAATATTTTCTAGTTCCATCTACTTATCTACGAATTTTATGGTTTCATTTTTCTATATAGATGACAGAATTTCATTGTGTATGTGTGCCATATTTTCTACTTCTACCACTTTCAGTGTTTCTGGTTTTACTTTGGAGTCTTTTGTCCATTTGAAGTTTATGTTTGTGCAGGTTGAAAAATATGATTCTATTTTAATTCTTCTACATATGGACATCTAATGTCCCTAGTACTGTTTGTTGCTGTCTTTCCTCCGGGGTGTTTATTGGTATCTTTGTGAAATATCAGAGGGCTATAGTTACATATACTCGTTTGAGACTTTTATTGTATTCTACTGATCTCTATCTGTTTTATGCTAGTATCAGGATGTTTTTATAGCTCTGTAGCCTGTCTTCAAATCTAGCATGGTAATCTTTCCAGCATTGTTCTTTTTGCTCAGGATTGCTTTTGCTATCGAGGGTCTTTTGCAGTTGTATATGAATTTTAGAATTTTTTTCTATTTCTGTGAAGAATGTTGTGGGAATTTTGATTTGGGGTTGCATGAATATGTAAATTGCTTTTGGTAGGATAGTCATTCTCACAGCATTAATTCTACAAATTCATGAACCGGGGAGGTTTTTTCATCCTCTAGTGGCCTTTTCAATCTCTTTCTTCAAATATTTAAAGTTTTCAATGTAGCAGTCTTCCACCCCTTGTTTAGGACTCTTTTTAAAGTCAATTTTGAGTGCCAAGTTTCTATGCTCCCTTTCTCATCACATTTGTTATTGGCATCTAGAAAAGCTACTGAATTTTAAAGTTGATTTTGTAATCTGCCACATTTCTGAAGTGTTGATCATTTCTAAAAAGTTTTCTGGTAGAATTTTTGTTATATCATGTATTAGAACATATCATCTGCAAATAGGGATGATTCGATTTCTTTTCCTATTTGTATGTCTTTAATTTCCTTCTGTTGTCTTATGGCTCCAGCCAGCGCTGCTTTGTAGCTGAAGTTTTCTCCAGTCCCGCCCAGGCCCACAGCCACTCAGACTCAAATAAACACACAGAGGCTTATATTAATTAAAACTGTATGGCTTAATGGCTCAGACTTGTTAGCTAGATCTTACATCTTAAATTAACCCATTTTTATAAATCTATACCTTGCCTGCCTCATGGCTCATGGCTTACAGGTATCTTTATGTCTTGTTTTTTATGGTGGTGGCTGGCAGTGTCTCTCTGTTTTTGTTTTTTAGTTAGACTGTCCCGCCTATACTATACTTCCTGTCTGGCTACTGGCCAATCAACATTTTATTTATCAACCTTCTTCATTCACTGTATTGAAAAGGAGTGATGATAATGGACAGCCATGTCTCACTTCTGATTTTAATGGGATTTCTTTGAGTTTTTTTCATTAAGGATAAATGTTGGCTTTGGGTTTGTCGTATATGGCCCATTTTTATGTTTTATTTCATTTAATGACTTATGTATGTTGAACCATCCTTGCTTCTCTGAGATAAAGCCAATTTGATCGTGGTATATGATCTTTTTGATATATTTTTATTCAGTTTGCAAGTATTTTATTGAGGATTTTTGTATATATGTTCATCAGGGATATTGGCTTTAGTATTGTTGTTATGTCTTTACTGGATTTAGTATTAGACTAATACTGGCTTCATAGAGGGAACTTTGAAAAATACCGTCTATTCCTAATTTTTTGAATAATTTAAGAAGTATTAATCCTGCAGTGAGACCTTTTGGCCTGGATTTTGTTTTGTTTGTTTGTTTTGGGTTTCTTTGTTTTTGTTTTTTGGAAGGCATTTAAATTACTGTTTCAATTTTCTCATTCCTTGTGTCTGTTTAAGTTCTTTCTTTTTTAGACTTTTTTTTTATCGATTCTAAATAAGCTAACTAACATACAAAAAGAAAAGGGAAAAAAAGTCTGGTCATGGAAGTTGTAGTGTGACACTGTGAGCCACATATTATATGCTTTAGTCCATATATCTTTACTTAACTGTTTGTTGCAATGAGTCATTGGTCTGGTTCAAAATCTCTGGCTGCTACTACGTCCTCCATACTGGGCCCTCACTGGGACTCCTCTTTGATATTCTGTTGTTGCCCTGTGTCGTGGAGATCCTACAGCTTTGGATCTCCAGGTCTGGCCCCTTTAAGTGCTCCAGCAGTTCATAGATAAGGTGAATGTTGGGGTGGGCCAACTCATAGCCCTGGTTCTGGGCCTAGGTGGTAGCTGGGTTGGTCAGCCTGCTAGCTTTACCTCATCACCACCACCAGTGCAAGCTCTCCACCATTGACCCGGATAGCTGACCCACTATAACAGACAGCAAGGAGAAGGGCCAGTTCTCGTGCCCTCATGCTCTGGGGGGATGGCTCACCCACACCCACACCCATGCCACCAGGGCCAGCTATACTGTTTTGCCCAGGCAAAATGCAGGGCTGCTGCAGTTGGTGAGGTGCAGAGCCAGCTCTCTGGCTCCTGTGCCCCCAAGGCCAGCTCTCCTGCCTGCCACAGGTGGCAAGGAGTGTGTGTGTGTGGTGGGGGCATCTTTCTCTTACCCATGCTACCGCATGGCAGATGAGGGAGAGTGGGGTCATCTCTCCTGCTCTCATACCTTCAGGGCCAACTCACCTGCACCTGGCCCAACAAGGTCAGCTCTACTGTGTTGCCCAGGTGAGGTGTAGGGCTCACTCTCCCAAGTACGGCACCCAGTGAGAGGCAGGGCCAGCTCTCCCACTCACCAGAGATAGTGAGGGGCAGGGGATGGAGGAGGGCAGATGAGGGGTGGGGTTAGATCTCTCACACACTTAGGGCCGGATCTCCTGTGCCCCTGTCAACAGGGTCAGTTCTAGTGTATTACTCAAGCGAGGTGCAAGACCTGTTCTCCCAAGTGCTGCACCTGGTGAGGAGCAGGGTCAACTCACCCACTCTTGTTTCCTCAGGATCAGCTTTCCTGTCTGCAGTAGGTGTTGAGAGGCAAGGGGCGGCACTATTTAAGTTCTTGATCTCTTCTTGCTTTAACCTCAGTGGTTTGGATAAATCTAGGAATTCATCCATTTCTTTTGGATTTTCTAACTTAATGAGTATAGTTTTTAAAAAGTATTCCCTTGTAATATTCTAAATTTATCTGGTGCCTGTTATACTGTTTTCTGGTTTATCTCTGATTCTTTTAATTTGGGTCATTTCTTTCTTTTGGTTAATAGGGCCAGTGATCTGTCAATCTCGTTTACCTCCTCAGAGATTCAGCTCTTAGATTTGTTATTTCTCTGTATTGTTTTCTTTTATTTTTCATTATTTCTTATCCTCTACTGGTTTTGGGTTTGGTTTCTTTTCATTTTTCCAAATTCTTGAAGGTTTGTCATTAAGGCATTTGTGCTATTTCTGATTTTTTAAATATAAGTGCTTAGAACTATAAATTTCCTCCTTAGGATTGCTTTTAATGTGTCCCAGAGGTTTTGTTTTGTTGTGTTGTCATTTTCATTTAATCTCAGCCTATCCTAGAGAGTAAGTTCAATTTCTTGTAGGTGGCAAAAGCTTGAGTTTCTTGTAGACAACAAGATGATTTTGTTTCTTAATTCATTTAAGTAACCTGTGTACTTTGATTGGCGAGTTGAGGCCACTAATATTTTTAAAGTTATTATTGAAAAGTGCGTGTTAATTGCAGTCATTTTTTAAAATTTTTGTAGTTGTTTCTTGTTTGTGTTCTTAGTCATACTTTGTGTCTCAGTACTTAGGACTAAGTTTATTTTCTTCCTATAGTTTCTTGGCTATGTTTATTTCTGTCTTTAGTCTGAAGCATTGCTTCCAGTATTCTCTATAGGGCTAGTTTGGTGGACATATTTTTTTAGCATATATTTACATCATGGAAAGATTGTCTCTGTCCTTCAACTGCAGCATATAGTTTTGCTTGGTAAAGTAGTCTAAGGCCTTAGAACTTGGAGTGCATTGCTCCAAGCTCCTCTGGCTGTAAAGTTTTCTATTGAGAAATAAGCTATTTTTTTGGATGGGTTTTCCTTCATATGTGACTATGGCTCTTCTCTTGCGGCTCTCATATCCTCTATTTATAGATTCTGTATTAGTGTTTTAACTATAATATGCCACTGGAATTTATTACCTGGTCCTGTCTAGTTGGTGTTCTGTGTGCTTTATTTGGGTATGTCCTTAATTTGGGGATTTTTTATTCCATGAGCCTTTTGAAGATCTCGTCTATGCCTTTGACCCAGGATTCTTCTCCTTCTGTGCTCACAATTCAGAAATATTGTCTTTTCAAGGTTTCCTAGAGTTCCTGGGTGTTTTCTCTCTGTGATTTGTTTGTTTGTTTTTTCATTTTATTTGCTTGATTAGTTCAATTCCTCTACTTCTTCAAGGCTTGATAGTATTTTTTGTGTATTATCTATTTAGTTTTTATAACAATAGTTTTAGGTAAGCCTATTCCCCCACATACCAAAAAATAAAAATAAAATAAAGATGCAAAATTTTAGGCACAACTAGTGAATGACAAAAGCTGAATTTGACAATAGCAGTCTTACTGAGAGTAAAAAAAATATATTGTACGAGCCATGAATTCTTAAATTCTTAAAATTTTTTTATTTATTCTTCTCTCATATATTATATCCCCACTGAAGTTTCTCCTCTCCTCTCTCTTCCAAGCCCCACCCACCTCCCCTCTCCTCCTGATCTACTTCTCCTCCTCCTTTCTCTTCAGAAAAGGGCAGGCTCCCCCAGGAATATCAACCAAACATGGCATGTCAGTCTATAATAAAACTAGACACATCCCTTTATATCAAGGCTGGAGGAGGCAACTCAGTAGGAGGAAAAGGGTCCCAAAAGCAGGCAAAAGAATCAGAGACAGCCCCTGCAAGCACTGTTAGGAGTCCCACAGGAACACCAAGCTGCACAACCATAACACATATGCAGAAGATGTAGGTCAGACTCAGGCAGGCTCCCTGATTGTTGGTTGAGTCTCTGTGAACCCCTATGAGTCCTGGTTAGTTGATTCTGTGGAATGTTTTGTTGTAGTGTCCTTGACCCCTATGACTCCTACAATCCTTCCTCTTCCTCTTCCTCAGGTTTCCCTGAGCTCCACCCAATTGTTGGCTGTGGGTCTCTGCATCTGCTCCCATCAGTTGCTGGATGAAGACTCTCTGATGATGATTGGGCTAGGCTCAGGTCTATGAGGATAACAGAATATCATTAAGAATCATTTCATTGATTTTTTTTCTGTTCCTGTTTGGTTCTATCCTTGGTCTCTGGTTTCTGGCCCTCCAGGCAGTGTCTGGCATGGGCTCCCTCTTGTGGCATGGATCTCAATTTGGACCAGTCATTGCTTGGCTGCTTCCACAAGTTCTGCGCCACCTTTACCCCAGCACATCTTGCAGGCAGGACCAATTGTAGGCCAAAGGTTTTGTGGCGGGGTTGGTGTCCCAAACCCTCCACTGAAAGACTTGCCTGGTTATAGAAGATGAACATTTCAGACTCCATATACCCCATTACTAGGAGTCTTCTCTAGGGTCACCCTCGTGGCTTCCTAGGGGTTTCCATTGCTGTAGGTTTCTACCTTGCCTCCGAAATGTCCCCCAGTTCCAGTCATCTCTCCTAGTACTCTCTCCCTCCAACCCCTACTTAATCCATCCTGTACCTATCCCCACCTGTCCCCAGTCTCCTCACAAAATCTATTCTATTTCCCCTACCCAGAGAGATCCATGTGTTCCCACTTGAGCCATCCTTGTTACTTAGCTTCTCTGAGTCTGTGGATTGTAGCATAGTTATCCTTTATTTTACATCTAGTATCCTCCTATGAGTGAGTACATACCATGTTTGTCTTTCTGGGTCTGTTACCTCACTCAGGATGATTTTTTTCTAGTTCCATCCATTTGCCTGCAAATTTCATGATTTTATTTTTTCTTTTTTAAAACATTTTAATTATTAAGAAATTTTGTATTCATTTTACATACCAACCACAGATCCCCCCTCCCTCTTCCCACTCCTAAGCCTTCCCCCTCAACCCATCCCCCATTCCCACCTCCTCCAAGTCAAGGTCTCCCATGGGGAGTCAGCAGAGACTGGCACATTCAGATGAGGCAGGTCCAAGCTCCCCCCCCCCCCCCCCCCCCGCACCAAGGCTGCACAAGGTGTCACACCTTAGGCACTAGACTCCAAAAAGCTGGCTCATGCACCAGAGACAGATCCCGATCCCCCTGCCTGCAGGCCCCTTAAACAGTTCAAGCTAAGCAACAGTCTTGCATCTCCATACGGCCTAGTCCAGTCCCATGGGGGCTCTTCAGCTATTGGTCTACAGTTCATGGGTTTCCACTAGTTTGGCTGGCTGTCTCTGTACGTTTTCCCATCATGATCTCAATGTCCCTTGCTTATAGAATCCCTCCTCTCTCATTGATTGGACTCCTGGAGCTTGGCCTGGCGCCCGGCCATAGATCTCTGTATCTGCTTCCATTAGTTACTGGATGAAGGCTCTATGATAACAGGGTATTCACTAATCTGGTTACTGCAGTAGACCAGTTCAGGCACGCTCTCAACTATTGCTAGTAGTCTAAGGTGGAGTCATCCTTATGGATTCCTGGGAACTTCCCTAGCGCCCTGTTTATCCCTATTTCCATGATGTCTTCATTTATCATGTTATCTCTTTTCTTGCTCTCCCACTCTGTCCCTGTTCCAGCTCGAACATCCCATTTCCTTATGTTCTCATCCTCCATTCATTGCCCTCTATTACCTGCCCCCCTCACCCCCAGTTTGTTCATATAGATCTCATCTATTTCTCCTTCGCTGGGCTATCTATGTGTCCCTCTTAGGGTCCTCCTTGTTAGCTAGCTTCTCTGGAGCTGTGGGTTGTAGTCTGGTTATCCTTTGCTTTACATCTAGTATCCACTTATGAATGAATACATACCATGTTTGTCCTTCTGAGTCTGGGTTACCTCACTCAAGATGATATTTTCTAGTTCCATCCATTTGCCTACAAATATCATGATATCATTATTTTTTACTGCTGAGTAGTACTCCATTGTGTATATGTGCCACATTTTCTTTATCCATTCTTTGGTTGAGGGGCATCTAGGTTGTTTCCAGGTTCTGGCTATTACGAATAACGCTGCTATGAACATAGTTGAGCATCTGTCCCTGCGGTATGATTGAGCATTCCTTGGGTATATGCTCAAGAGTGGTATAGCTGGGTCTTGAGGAAGATTGATTCCCAATTTTCTGAAAAACCACGATACTGATTTCCAAAGTGGCTATAGAAGTTTGCATTCCCACCAACAGTGGAGGAGTGTTCCCCTTGCTCCGTATCCTCTCCAACATAAGCTGTCTTCAGTGTTTTTGATCATAACCATTCTGACAGGTATAAGATGGTATCTCACAGTCATTTAGATTTGCATTTTGCTGATGATTAAGGATGTTGAGCAATTCCTTAAATGTCTTTCAGTCATTTGAGATTCTTCTGTTGAGAATTATCTGTTTAGCTCTGTAGCCCATTTTTAAATTGGATTGTTCAGTATTTCGATGTCTAGTTTTTTGAATTCTTTATATATTTTGGAGATCAGCCCTCTGTCAGATGTGGGGTTGGTGAAGATCTTTTCCCATTCTGTAGGCTGTTGTTTTGTCTTTTATTTTTCCGGAGACAGGGTTTCTCTGTGTAGTTTTGGTGCATGTCCTGGAGCTCACTTTGTAGACCAGGCTGGCCTCGAACTCACAGAGATCCACCTGGCTCTGCCTCCCAAGTGCTGGGATTAAAGGGGTGCACCACCACCGCCTCGCGTTGTTTTATCTTTTTAACAGCTGAGTAATACTCCCTTGTGTACATCCCTCCCCCACCCCCTTTCTTACCATATTTTCTTTATCCATTCTTCAGTTGAAGGACATATAGGTTGTTTCCAGTTTCTGGCTATTATGAATAATTATGCTATGAACATACTTGAGCAAGTATCCTTGTGGTAGGATGGAGCATCCTTTTGGGATCCTTTGCTCAGGAGTGGTATAGCTGAGTCTTGAGGTAGATCGATTTTTTAAGGAATCTCCATATTGATTCCCATAGTGGCTGTACAAGTTTGCACTCCCACAAGCAATGGAGAGATGCTCTCTTGCTCTACATCCTTGCCAGCATGAGCTGTCACTTGTGGTTTTGATCTTAGCTATTTGACAGGTGCAAGACGGAATCTCAGAGTCACTTTGATATTCTATCTTCTACTTGAACCATTCTGCTTGTAAGGCTTTTCCCTGTATTTTGTAATTGTGTTATTGAGTTTTTCAAGTCCATCTTCATTTCAGCTTGAATTCTCATCAATATTTCTATCTCTTTACTGAATTCAGTTTTCAAATCTTGGAGTTCATCAGTTCATTCAGCTGTATGTTTGTATTTTTAGACATCATTTAAGCATTTATTTCTGTACTCTATATGTTCACTGGGGCTTTTGTTCATGTCTTTTTTAAACACTTTGAATTCTTGATGAAATTTATGACAGTTCTTTTAAATTATGTGTTCTGGTATTTATTGGGGTAATTTTCAGTGAAGAACATTTCTATAAGACTAGTAGCTTATAGAAGGGGAGGGGAGGAGCGCATACAATTTTTATATTGTTTGTGTTTTTGTGATGTGCCTGGGTATGTGGACTCATTTCATTGGTTGTATGTCTGGTATCAGGTTCTAGCTTACCTGAGACTGGGCTGGTGCCGGAGCTGCATATCTGTAGCTAGGCAGGAGAGTATGGGGATGACATTGGCAGGTGAGGTTCTGAGGAGCTCACCAGGCAAGGCAGGTGCAGGAACTGCATTTCTAGAGCTAGAGCCTGGCTCAGGAAAGCACAGATAGCTCAGGTGGTGTTCATTCTTGGAGAACTCAACAGGAAATACTAGTGCAGAAGCTGCACAGTTAAAGCTAAGTGTGAGAGTGTGGGAATGGTGCTGAAGGGAGGGTTCTCGGAGAGCTCACCAGGCAAAGTGAGTGTGTGACATGTGCATTCAGGGTTAGGCCTGAGTGTGTGGAGATGATGTGGGCAGTCTTGGTTTTCTATTGAACTTTAACTGTCTTAATCTTGTACAGATATTGTGCAGAAACCACAGGTGCTGTGTCCTTGAGTCCATGTTACATCCAGAAGACAGATAGTATTTCACAGGGTCCCTTCCCTTCCTTCACCTCATACGTTGTATCTGTCCCCTCTTCTGCAATGCTCCCATAGCCTTCTGTTGGGGGAGGATTGATACAGATACCCATTTAGGGTTGAGCATTTATACTTATTCTCAGCACTTAACCAGTTATGAAGCTCTGCATTAACCACTGCTCATTTCTAAATGAAGCTTCTCTGACCAAGAGCAGCACAAATATATGAGTATAAACATTTAAGAGGGCAGTTTGGCCAGCCGGTGGTGGTGCACACCTTTAATCCCAGCACTAGGGAGGCAGAGCCAGGTGGATCTCTGTGAGTTCGAGGCCAGCCTGGTCTACAGAGTGAGATCCAGGACAGGCTCCAAAACTACACAGAGAAATCCTGTCTCAAAAAAAAAAAAAAAAAGAGGGCAGTTTGACTTCATAATCATTTATCAAAATAGCGATAGCAGGTTCTATCCTAGAATCTATGATCTCCTTGACATGGATTTTTCATGAGGTTCACAGTACCAGGCCTGAAATCACTCCTGTGGAGTAAACTGTGAATGCAACCAGAAATCAATTGGTTAGCCCTATAGCTGTCCTGCCACTATGGCACCAGTGGCTACAGCTTGCCTGGTGCCTCAGTACTGTAGCATGTAGGGTCAGCACTGGATATGACCATTGTTGTCTTTCTTCCCCCAGCAGCCTGCAGAGCACCTTCTAACACTATGAAATCTATCCAACCGAGAGTTTCCTGGTCAGTTCAAGATTGATTTACCTAATTGAGTCCATGTGACAAATGCACTCAGGGACCAGTTATGTCTAATTCCTATGGGGCGTTTACCCACCAACCCCACAGTTCCCCAGAGTTTTGTTGAGTGTGAGCAGCAGGAAATATTAGATAGAAGGATTTATTGCGGAGAATATCGCGGAGATAAACAGATAGAAAATAAAGGATAGCCTCGAGAAGGCCTGGAACCTTTTCCAATGAGCCCCGACTGTCTCTGCCCCAGGGTTTTTATAAAGACGCCAAGGGTGGAGCAAAAGACCCCCTCCCCCAGCACAGCCAAGTGCAGACCATCTCAGACACCTACACTCAGGCCCGTGGTCCTAATCATCCTCTATGCAGACATGCTGGGTAAAGCCACGAGGAACCCGAGAACGGGCTCCCACAAATTCCTATTACAATAATTGTTAATGGAATAAAAAGAAAGCTCAACTTTCACAATCACTGCCTTAAAGGAAAACACATGTTAGATTCTTTTGGAATGCAAAATGGTTTTTGCTACTTCAATATGCAAAAAGTTGAGTTCACATATCCACTAAAGTATCAGGGACTAAGGAGGACCAGCCCCTCGATAGTCCCCTCCCAGGGTCTGGGAAGAATTTACAACCAGCTGATAATTTAATCTTTGATGATATGAAATGAATCTACATACATGAAACTCTTTAGTCCATGCACTTTATTCTTCTGAGTCAGTTTTTTCTCTACGCTGCTTCTATTCTGCTCTCATGCCTAGCTTCTTTCTTGCCTGATTTCTCTCTACATTTATCTGCTGTCCCCTCTGAGTTCTATCTTAATTCTCTCATCTTAGTTCTGCCCCATATAGGTTCTCATCCATCTAGTTCTTCACCATCTTAGCTCTTCTCTCCTCTCTCATCTTGTTCTTCCTCATCTTGTTCTTCCCCACCTGGCTCTTCCTCATCTTCCATCTCATTCCTCTAGTACTCTCTTCTAGTCATCCCATCTAGTTCTTACCCATCTCACTTCATTCCTCTCCAGTTCTTCCCCATCTAGTTCTTCCATTCTCTTTTCTCTTCTCCATCTAGTACTTCTCTGAAAATAAAACTTTTTAGCCTTGGACCCTTATCTCTCCAAGCTATCTCTGCTCCCGCCATTTCTGGTGAATGTGCTTGGTCGTTAGGCAACCTGGCTAGGCAACTTACATCACAGCTGGATGTACCTGTAAGTTGGAACCCTTAGTTCTAAGTTAATTGTTAAGGGTGGATCTAAAGCTAGAGAAAAGACTTTGGAAAGGAGAAAGTTAACTTAATTAGCACATCCACCAGGCCTTCTCAAACAGGTAGTCCGGACGCTTAAGTCTGTTCTTAGACAGCACAGAGGTATCTCTTATAAGGTACTTTCTTCTATCTGGGGATGGTCCTGGCTGGATGCTGCCTCTTGTATAATATTAGCAGGACCAGCCTTAATAGTATACATCCCAGGGGCTCAGGAGAGAAAACTACTAACAGCAAGGACTATTTTCAGGAAATAGAATCTCAGCACACCGAGCTCTATAGTCCACTTGCTTTAATTCCTCTGGCATAACATCCTATCTACACAGCTTCAGTTCTGTTTTTATGCCTAGCTCCTTTCTTGCCTGATTTCTCTCTATATTTATCTACTGCTCCCTCTAAGTTCTATCTTAATTCTCTCGTCTTAATTCTGCTTCATCTGGGTCCTTTTTACCTTGTTCTTACCCAGCTAGGACTTCCCCATGTGACTCTTCCTCATCTTCCATCTCGTTCCTCTAGTACTCTCTTCTAGCCCTTCAATCTAGTTCTTCCACATCTCAGTTTGTTCCTCTCAAGTTCTTACCCATCTAGTTCTTCCATTCTCTTTTCTCTTCTCCGTCTTCCCGTGCCCTGGAAGTCCAGGTATATATACACTTACAAGCAGTATTCCCTTAGCAGTGCAAAGCCAGGCTTCCAGGGTCAAATGGAGGGGTGATAAGAAGCACACAGAGACACAGTAATTGTTAATTATCATTTGCAACCCAAAAGGGAAGTGACTAATGGGGAAATGAATTAACTAAAGGCTAAATTCAGGTAATATCTAAGAAAAGGGATCTTATGTGCTCCACTATAGTCTTAAACATGATTGGTAGAAAATGTTAAGAATCTGTAAGTTGCTAGGTCAATGGAAGAAAATTAAACTGCCTTTTTCCTATGGCTCCTATCTGTCCAAGCTACCTGCCATTTTTCTGCAGGGTGGGGGAAGGTGTGCTCTGTCACTAGGCAACCTGTGTACAGCTAGATGCCTCTGGTGATAGTTAAGGGGAGATCTGGAACTAGAGGTAAGATTTGGGAAAGGAGGAATTTAAGCTTAATTGGCACATCCTCCAGGCCCTCTCAAACGGGTAGCCTGGATGCTTAAGTCTGTTCTTAGAGAGTACAGAGGTATCTCTGATAAGGTACTTTCCTCCATCTTGGGATGGACCTGACCGGATGCTGCCAATGATGATAATTACAGGGAGGCTTAAACTGGGGTGGCGGAGCATAGCTGTTAGCGCAGAAGGTTATCTAAATATTCCTAGAAGTGATTAGGTAAGGAGTTAGAGGTCTATAAAGTTAGTAAGGCTGTAAGAAAGGAGGGTCTGAGCTAAATTGTGTAAAACTATTACTTAATGTCCACCTGACCTAGGCAGTGTCTCCTTGTGGAATTTACCTTAAATCAGGAGACTTGCATGTGGAGTGTTATTACTGTTAGTCTTTGAATGTGGCTAAGGGAGATATCTGATTCCAGAGGAAGCCTTTCCTAATGCTGTTCTCCAAATACCTTGAATGTGTATGTCCAGAGAGTGATCAGTCCACACTGTTAGCCCTTCTTAAGGAAAAATCAATTGGGAAAACTATGAAGACACACATGATTTTCATAACAGAATACAGCTGATATATAACAAGCCAAAAGCTCCTTGGAATTTGGCTTCCTCTGGAGGAATTCCTTGATCTCTCCAGGTAGTGACTTTGCCATAACCAGCTGAGTTCTTATAATATATTCCTGCAGCCCGCAGCAGCTGCCAATGACGATTAATTACAGGGAGGCTTGAACTGGGGTTCTGGCTGTTCATAGCTGTCAGCACAGAAGGTTATCTAAATATTCCATTAATAGAGGGGAAATGGTGCCCAATAAATGGTGGAAAAGCTACAATAGCACACGAGAAATTCATAGTAGGAAACGGCTAATAATCAAAAACCAATATCACCAAGACTCCCTGAGCCTCAGCTTGACCTCTGGAAGGCCCTTGGCTTCTTCCAGATATTAGCTTGTCATAATCAGCTGAAATCCTGCTTCATATATTTTTGTTGCTTGCAGCACTAAAGTTGTGTGTGGGGGGGGTGACTATGATTTAGCTGAATAGCTTTGTATCCTCTTTCATGACTCATATGTCCTTTTGCCTACTTTCTGTCTCTCCTCATTACCTAGGACTACCCTCTCTTTGTCTCTTTTATAAATTTTTGGTTTTTACCCACACTTTATCTGTTTGAGAGGGGTTATGTAACCTGATTGTTTTCTCATTTACTCTGTTTAAAGCTATATCAAATAATTGTATTATAGTGTTTGCTAATAATTAATTTGTATTACTGTATATAAAATAAAGTATGTTTTTTTCTTTCTTTATTTCTTCTTTTATTTAATTTTTTTTCTTTTACATACCAAACCCTGTTCTGCCTCCCTCCCCTTCTCCCACTACAGCTCACCTACCCTCATTCCACCCCCATCCCCACTTCATAGATGGTAAGGCCTCTCTTGGGTAGTCAATACAGGCTGGCATACCAAGTTGGGGCCAGACCTAGCCCCTCCTCCTTGTATCAAGGCTGAGTAAGGCATCCCATCATAGGGAATGGGCTCTAAAAAGCCAGTTCATGTACCCAGGATAAGTCCTGGTCCCATTGCCAGGGGACCCACAAACACATCAAGCCATGCAACTTTCACCCCCATTCAGAGGGCCTAGTGTGGTCCCATGCAGGCTCCCCAGCTGTCAGTCCAGAGTCCATGAGCTCCCACTAGCTTGGGTCAGCTGTCTCTGTGGTTTTTCCCATCATGATTCTGACCCTCCTTGCTCTTATAAGCCTTCCTCCCTCTCTTCAACTGAACTCCAGGATCTTGGCCAAGTGCTTGTCTGTGGGTCTCTGCATCTGCTTCAATCAGTTACTGGATGTAGGTTCTATGACAACAATTAGGGTAGTCACCAATATGAGTGCAGGGGAAGGCCAGTTCAAGCGCCCTCTCCACCATTGCTATGAGTTAAAAGTGTGGGTTTTTTAAAAGAAAGAACAAATTAAATTTTTTTTTTAAAAGATTGATTTTCTGTCCTACAAAAATAAAATGTGTGGTTCTTCAGCAAGAGGCTTAATAGCTAGTTATGGTATGCAACTGAGAACAGGGCCAAAGCTTATGTTCTTTTGGGTGCCTCTGGGGCAGTGCTCTCAATCTTCCTGATCCTGGGACCCTTTAATACAGTTCCTCATGTTATGGTGACCCCCAACCATAACATTATTTCGTTCTTACTTCATAACTAATTTTGCTACTGTTAGGATTCCTAATGTAAATATCTGATATTCAAGATACCTGACATGTGACCCTGTGAAAGAGTCGTTTGACCCCTCAAAGGGATCGCAACCCACAGGTTGAGAAATGCTGCTCTGGGGTCTCTGACCAACAACACATAGTGCTTGGCAGTGGGAATTTTATTTAATAACTCATTCTTCCAAGAACAGCAGCAGTGTCCACCCATGCAGAGCATCTCTGTTCAAACTCCTTTGTTTTTAAATTATATTTTAAAATTGCTTGCACACTGGCAGTTTTCCTTAAGGTTTCTTCATACATCCTTAGTTTGGATTGACCTATCACCTAAGGCCTCCCATCATCCACCCCACCCAACCCCAGTTCTTTTATGTCATATGTGACCAAGTGAGTTTTTATTCCAAGTTAGAAAAAAAAAAAAAAAAGGTAAAATGACTTGGCTCAGACCTCTGGTTGGTTTCCCAGAGATAGGAGTATGCTTTAGCCTGGGGCATTGGTGAGGCCTGTAAAAGGTGCTCTCATCTCTGTTCCCCCAGGAACTCCATGAAGCATTGAGAGAAAAACATCGGAGAGGCACCAAGAGCCCTCTTGGCAGGCTGTTGCTAGGCTACCTGTCCCCTCTCCAGCTGCGGTACTAGAACTCCTCCTCCCTTTCCACAGCCTTCAGAAAAGGAGGGGGAACCGAAGCTTAGCAGAGCTGGAGTGCGGGGAGGCACAGGCACTGACCAACTTCCTCCTGGTGTTGGGAGCACTCAGTATCCCTCCGCTGCTCCCTCCTGCTCCCCAACTCCAGACCTCCTCTCTATAGCTTCCCACTCCAAAGCCCTCATGGACCCTAGCTCTCAGCCATCCCACACACTGTAGTGGCGCCAGAAAAGTGGTGGTGGTCTCTGGTTAGGACGAACAGGGGTCTGCAGAAGCCCACGGGCGCGACCCACCCCTCCGAGTGGAGGGGGGCTGCCTCCGGCCCCGCCCACTGGGAGTCGGAACTAGGGTGGGCCCGGGAGGGGGCGTCGAGCCCAGTGCGCCGTATCCCTCCGCCCCTTCCCGACACCCTCGAGGCGAGCTGCTCCTGCCGCATCCTGCGCAGCAGCCCCTGCCCGTTTGGTGCAGAGGCGTGGGGGCGGGACGCGGCTCTGCCATCGCACTCGCGCGCAAAGCGGCGGCGGCGAGAGCACAGTGCGAGGAGCTGCGGAGGACGGAGCACGGGCGGGAGCAGACCGGGACGCGGGGGAGCCCGGAGACCTGGGCCGTGCGCCTGGCCAGGCAAGTGGGGGTGTGTCGAGGGCTGGGGCGGCCGCGCACTGCGGACCACCGCCCGGCCCTGACAGTGCAGTGGAGGCGAGCGGGTCGTGGGGTCTCCCTGGAGTGGTGGCGGATCCCCGAGATCCTAGGCGGTGAGGAGGAAGCGGGAGCCCGGGTCGGGCCGCAGGCACGGGGGTGGGGGAAGGGCGGCTGGGTGTGATGGTCTGGAGGCCTGCGGAGCAGATGTCCGGGCAGCAGGCTTTTCCCCACCCTTTTTGGTGTCTGGGCCCTGCAAAGGTTGTAGGGGAGGCGCCTAGGGGAGAAATGGCGGCGCGGGAGCAGGGGAGTGTGTGTCCCTTGGAGGTCGCTGGGGAGTGTGGTGTCCCTTGGAGGTCTCTGTCGGTGGGTTGGGGGCGGGTGTCCAGCTCTGGGCCTAGTTTAGCTCTGGGTGGTGAGTTGCCTTGCTACTTGGGCCTTACTCCAGGAGGCCCTTGTGTCCTGTCTCTTCCCATAGGCTTCTGCTTGGTGGCAAAGTCTCCTGTCTGAGTGGTAGGAGTGGTGCATTCTGGGGAAGGGGAAACATAATTAGAGGGGCACCAGAACATAAGAATGAAATGTTCATCTGCTTTCCATACAGGATTGATTGTTTTATTCCCTTCTATATTTAGAATCTTGTGCGTAATTTACTGCAAGCAAGTGGTCATGATAAGGAGTTGGTCATATTATGATATTATATGATATTATGATTTTATTATATGATATATTCAAGATACATTTTTTCAACATTCTGTTTCACTTTGACGATTTTTTATATGTTTGAATGGGAGTTAAAGTAAAGGAGAAGTTTTTGTGCAGGTGGGTGTTCAATTTAGAATATTTGAAATTACTATAGGATTTAAGTATCTGTTTATGGGACCCCATATATCATCTCCAGCCACTCTTCCTAGTCCCTCATATTTTTGTATAGAAGCAGTGTCCAAGAAAATGTGCTATTTCTGAAGGTGGCCGTCTGGGTCACAGATGAGAGTTTACAGAGTTCATTTACTTGGTTTCTGATTCTCTAAAAGGGGGTGTTTGAACTTGGGTTCTGGAAATCTGCATATAAACCTAATATTTTTATACCATGGTCAACATACTCTCTTGTATGTTTTTCTCAGTATCTTGGTTTCTATAGGTTGACTCTTCTCCAGCCAGAGGATTCTTCTTTAGTGGGAAGGAGAGTATCTCCTGAGCATCCTGCTTTGTGATGAGTCTGGCATTGGTAGCACATAAGGTAAGATCTAGTCATACATGGGGAGTCTGGTATTTCAAACCGTGGTCCTGAAATTATTGTACTCATTAGCCCCCCTGCCTTCTTCCCAAATACTGTTGCATATGTTCCACTGTCTACTTCTATGTCTTGTATTTTCCTTCAGGGAAAGAAATTTAGTCCCTGCATGGGAAATTTCCTTACTTTAGGGTTAGGAGGATGTATATTCAGGAAGATTGCAGATCATGAGCATGTCTGAGGAATAATTGGGGCGGAGCTGACGTGTAGGAGACATTTAAGAACCTTGAGTATACAAGAGCATGTGCTATAAACCTTTTCAGGGGTGTTTTGTCATCTCAGTCCCTTTAGTGTTTTTGGTTGTTTCTGATGTTGCCTTTTTATCCATTAGCCTGTTTCTTTCCAGGTTCCTGTAGAGCAGTGTTTCTCTAAATGTGGGTTGCGACCCCTTTGGGGGTGGAATGACCCTTCCCACAGGGGTCACATATTAGATACCCTGCATATCAGATATTTGCATTAAGATTTATGACAGTAGCAAAATTACAGTTATGAAGTAGCAATGAAAGTAATTTTATGGTTGGGGGTCACCTCAACATGAGGAACTGTATTAAAGGGTCGCAGCATTAGGAAGGTTGAGAATCATTGCTGTGGAGACCTGTAGGTAGCTGTTCACTTAGAAGTTAAGAAAGAGAACAAAACTTCATTAGGATTTGACGTGAGTATGAATGTGAGCATGAGCACACCTGTCAGTGGGTGGTAGAGGTGGCTGTTGGCAAGTGGGTGAAACCAGATCTTACCTTGGACCCATTGTTTTCTACCTTTCCAGACGCCACTGCCCTCACATTCATTACAGATAGTGGGAGGGCAGTGAGCCAAGCTTGAGTCAGTAGGTATTCAGCAGATAGTGGCTCAGAAAATGGGGAGAGAATCCCTAGGAGAGAACAGGGTATGAGGGAGCGTTAAGATACCTGGAGATACAATTTGGGTCAGTCTGTCAGATTCTCAAAATCCTAATCCCACGTGTGTTTTTCTCTATAGATCTGCCTGTGAAGTCAGCCGGACGACTTTCAACAGTGAAAGTGAGGAAGGAGGAAACAGTCCCATCACATCAGTGCAAGTTGGTGTGAGGCCTTTCTAAAGACATACACGTTCCTGATGGTATGTACCAGTGTGGACCAAAGGGCCTGGATGCTCGATGCTCTTTAGCCTCTCCTACTCTAAGCAATCTTACCTACTATCACTGTTGTGTTTGATGGGGACAAAAGAATGGTAGTACTTGGGCTGGATGCACCTTTGGAAGAAGTGAAATGAGCTAGCAGTTTTCTCCTAATCCACATCTCCTACCACACAGTTCAAATCTCTGTTCATGTCCTTCTGCATAGCTGTCTGTACGAAGACCAAAGGTTGGAGGACACTCAAAGTCTATTTCTTTCTCCCACCTTAGGTGTCTCTCCAGTGCTAGCCTTGGACTGGCAGAAGACTGCTTTCAACGGCTCTGCCTTTGGAAATCATCATCTTCCCCTAACCCGAGTCTTTCCTCTGTCCCTGCCGTTGATAGAGGCTGTATGACAAAAAGGGACCTTTGTAATTACTAAACTGACAGCTGTCTTTGACTCTTTCTGCCAAGTTCATCTCTGACCAAGTTAGACAGTGTAAAGAGAGTAGCCTGGACTGAACCGAGAACTAAGGTTAAGACTGGACAGGTGTCTGTAGCTGTGCTTCAGCCATGACTGGTGCAAAGAATAAGGCTAGAGCGCAGGCTAAACTAGAAAAAAGGGCAAATGCCCAGGCCAGAGCGGTGGCAGAGAGGGAGGCTGCCAATGCAAGCAGAGCTGCAGGCAAAAACCGCGACAAAGGAAAACCGAAGGCAGGAACTAGAACAGATGCAGTGGCGGAGATGAAGGCGGGGTCTAAGAACAAGGCAGGTACTGAGATGAAAGAAGGGGCGAGGTCAGACTCTAAGGCTCCAGGAAAAGGCACATGGGATTACTACCATAAGGCTGAGAACAAGGTGGCGAGATCTACGCGTAAAGATAAGGCCAGTGACGCCTGGTTCTGGGCTGGGGAAGAGTCTGGCATCAATTCTTGGTTCTGGAAGGGAGAAGAGGTTAGTAATAATTCTGTTGCTAAGGGTGAAAATAAAACTAATACTGGTACTCAGGGTCGCACTGAGGAGTCAGAGCCTACACCAAGGGCCAGCCACAAGTCTAGGTCAGGGGCCGAGGAGGAGGAGGAAGAGAATGTTATTGGGAACTGGTTTTGGGAAGGAGATGATGCTGGTTTTGATCCTAATCCTACACCTGTGTTCAGAATAGTTAAACCTCAGCCAGTGGATGAAATTAATGAAAAAAACAGGCCAAAGGACTGGTCTGAGGTTACCATTTGGCCCAAAGCTCCTGCTGTAACTCCAGCAGTGTTAGGTTATAGATCTCAGGACTCATCTGAGGGAAGGCCCTCTTCGTATATCGTGCTGGCCTCAAACGAAGAAGAAACTTCAACAGCAGCCTCCACTAAGAATACGCGATCAAGCCTACAGCCTATACCCGAGTATCCATTTGGTTCTGAACCTTGCATCCAGACCTTAGATGAAATCAGACAACAAATCAAGATCAGAGAAATGAATGGCATCAAGCCCTTCGCTTGTCCTTGCAAAATGGAGTGCTATTTGGATTCCCCAGAATTTGAAAAGCTTGTTAACATACTTAAGTCAACTACTGATCCCCTCATTCATAAAATAGCACAGATAGCAATGGGTATACATAAAGTTCATCCATTTGCCCAGGAATTCATTAATGAAGTGGGTGTGGTGACACTTATTGAAAGCTTGCTCAGTTTTTCTTCCCCTGAAGGTATAAAAAAGACTGTTATTACTCTGAATTCTTCTGGGGATGAAAGACAACACAAAGTTGAATTTCATGTTAAGCATATGTGTAAAGAAACTGTGTCTTTCCCCTTGAACTCGCCCGGCCAGCAATCTGGATTAAAAATACTAGGGCAGCTAACTACTGAGTCTGTTCATCACTACATTGTCGTGAGTTACTTTTCAGAGCTTTTCCATTTACTGTCCCAGGGAAATCGTAAGACTAGAAATCTTGTTTTGAAAGTATTTTTGAATATGTCTGAAAATCCAAGGGCAGCCAGAGATATGATCAATATGAAGGCATTAGCAGCATTAAAACTCATCTTTAACCAAAAAGAGGCAAAAGCAAATCTTGTTAGTGCTGTGGCCATCTTTATTAACATAAAGGAACATATTAGAAAGGGCTCAATTGTAGTAGTCGATCACTTGAGTTACAATACTCTTACTGCCATATTCCGTGAAGTTAAAGGGATTATTGAAAGAATGTAAAATGACCCAGAAATGGAAGGTAACACTGAACAGTGTCCAAATTCTGATTGGCTATACATTCCCAAAGAGTTTTGCATACTATTTTGGTAATAACTGTACACACATTTTGTCTTAACATCTTTTACAAATTATTACCTGTGACAGGGTCTAGCTCAAATCTAAAACATTTTTGGTGTATCAAATGAATATTAAACCTTGAGATAAACAAGTTTGTTGATTTCTATCTTATCTAGATTAGCAGATTTTTAACATTTTACTTAAAGAAATTGTGATCCAGCTATCAAAAGTACAGTGTCTTGGTGATTGTTATCTGCTTAGATCTATTTGTGGCTCCAGATAGCAAAAAAAGAAACTACTGGTCTTGTAATCTAGTTACAGAAATAAGGCGTATGCAAATAAAGATAACTGATGGTACCTACACTGTGTGTTTGTATATATGGTATATACATATATGTGCATATTTCCAAATGTGCCCTCCCTCTTGATACAAAAAGGAAGCAGGTTATAGGCCCTTAAATATAAGAGGGATTTCCAATCCCCCCTTATTCGAACTACACCAGACACTCATTACAGAACACAAAATGGCCCAGAATTACACAAAATCTAGAGTGTATTTATAATTCAAATTTTTAGACTCTTTCATCTGTGTCAGTCATCTCAGAAGAAAAAGGTAGGCATGAAAATGAAGTATTTTTTATTATTAGTTGCCCACTCTTGTCAGATGCTTAGATAAGCATACTATTTTTCAAGTTTATTCCTTTTATGGTGGTCCTGTCAGCTAGTTAACTCATGTTTTTGTTAGACCTCATCCTGAGCACTCCCCATCAGAATTCTAACCAATACTTACTCTGAGTTCTTCACAGCTGGCAGGTGGCACGGGTGACTTTTCTCCTAATTGAACCCATCTTACTATACTACCTTAACACTCATTCCCCTTTTTAGGTGATGATCTTCACAGCACAGGGATTATTTGGGGTTTAGGAGTAGTTTCATTTCAGGATGGATAATGTTTCCTACCAGGTTAACAAGTTTTAGCTTTCTCCAAATGCATGTCCACTAGGCATTTGGCAACACCTGACTAGATGTCAGGAGGAAAGTCTGAGGTGCATGTATGTATTTTAATAGGCAGTATGTGGGTAATTGATATCCAAAACTTTGGTGTGTGAATAAGATTAGGCCAGCCTGGGCTACAGAGTGAGTTCCAGGAAAGGCTCCAAAGCTATACAGAGAAACCCTGTCTCAAAAAACCAAAACTAAAACAAAAAAAAAAAAAAGAAAAAAAAGTATATGTAGGAGTCACAAAGAAAGTGAAGCTTGATCCTATCTTCCTGTGTGTACTTTTTTTTCCCAAAAGAGCCAGAATCATTCTATACACCAGTGGTTCTCAATCTGCCTAATGCTCTGACCTTTTAATACAGTTCCTCATGTTGTGGTGACCCCCAACCATATAATTATTTTCGTTGCTACTTAATAACTAATTTTGCTACTGTTACAAATCATAATGTAAATATATAATATGCAGGATATCTGATACGTGACCCCTGTGAAAGTTTCCCATATTAATATCCCACACAATAATTTAAATCACTTTGTTTTTCTTTTCTATATAGTGTTATCTTCCATTGCATATTCTTACGTAGTGTACAAATTTAAATCATTTTACGTTTTTCTTTTCTATATATAATGTGATCTTCCATTGCATATTCTTTTTTTTTTGTGTTTTCTTTTTTTTTCTTTTTATTTCTTTCCTACTTTTTTATTTTATTTTATTTTTTGAGATAGGAGCTCTTTACATAGTGCTGGCTTTCCTGGAACACACTACTTAGACCAAGTTGATCTAGAACTCACAGATCTGCCTGCCTTGCCTCCAGAGTGCTGGGACTAAAGGTGTGCTACCACCTCACCAGTCCTGTAACAGTTTTTCTATAACCAGCCTATTCACTTAATATAATTCTCTGATTTTCCATGACTGGTTTTAATCACTTTATGTAACTATCTCTGCATACATTTCCCTGCAAGCAACATAATTTTCTCCTAGGTAGTGTTAGAAAAGAAAAATCTATTATATCTGTATATATCTGTATGTATATGCATGTATATAATAGATTTTCATATATATACATATACATCACGTTTTGTTGGACTGTCTCTGTGTTTGTTTTTAGACTAATAGTGGCTGAATAAAAAGAATTTGGATTTTTTTCCTTTAGACATGGAAAAATGCCTTGTGCTGGAAGCCTTTCCAACTACCCAGAAGGAGTGAAGTCATGGATTTAAGGAGAATCTGATATTTTCACTTTACTAAAGCAGCATGATTCCTGATGGGGTCCACAAGAAGATCCAGTAGATAACAGCTGACAATTATAAGGCCAACCCACCAGATGACAACCTATCTGATAGAGGAGACTCATAGACAGGGCCTATGAGGAATATTGCCTATAAATTCTGACTGCTTCTGTCTATGGTTCTCTTGTGTGATGGTTCCCCTCTAAAACAGCTGTGGGATTTGTTTCACAACCTTAGCAGGGTTATTCTCATTCTTTGGGCACTGTCATTCCTATGTATTGACAGAAGGATGACTTCTCTTTACATTGTGTTAATTAGGTAAATAAAACAACCCCTCATGGTTCTATTGTTCCACATTTTGGTGATAAACTTAGAAGTCTGTTCTCCCATTGCATATTCTTACATAGTGTACAAATTTATTCATTTCAAAAATTAGAGTACAGTATTCAGTTTTCCTTTTCCACTGATCAGTTATCTTTACAGATTAGTATATAAATCTGCCACATGCTTTTATGATAACTTTATTGAAATATAGCTCATGTACATTAAACTGAAAATTTTATGACCCAGCCCTGAATACTTTCCCTACACAATACTATAAAAGTACTGTCAGACATAGAAATGCAAGCCATGAATAACTCATCCTGTTTCTCAAACCATCCAGATATTTGCTCAAAAGCAAAAAAACTCGTATTAACCAGTTGTTCCCTGTACTTGAGGGAACCTTGGTTCAGACTTCAAATACTGTCATAAAGTGCACCATTTGATAAGTTTGGACATATATGGAACCATAACCATATAAACATACAAAACCTAGCCATCACCAAGATGCCTCATTGCAATGCCTTATTCCTATCCTGAGGGAACTACTGATTTGCTTTCTAGTAACACAATCTAATTCTCTAATATATAAAAGAAAGCATGGAACATTTACTCATGGGAGGGATATTGGCTTATTATCACTCAACATAATTATTTCAGTTTCATCCATGTTGTGTGTCTTATTAGTTCATCACATTTTAATGTCAAGTAATAGTTCACTGTGTCTTTACCATAGTTGGTTTTTCCTTTCAGGTGTCAATTGGCATTGGGTTCTGATTTGAGTTACAGAAAATAAAGCTAATATGAGAATTGATGTGCAAGTGTTTCTTTGAATATATACTTTCATTGGATCTGGATTTACGAAATGGGAATGGGGTATTGGGATTATACAGTATGTTCTAACTTTTATTTTTCCCAGAGCGGTACCAGTTTACACTGCAGAAACAGTATGTAAAAGTTGTTCCTCGCTGGGCAAGGTGACACACGCCTTTAATCCCAGCGCTCGGGAGGCAGAGGCAGGCAGATCTCTGTGAGTTCAAGGCCAGCCTGGTCTAAAGAGTGAGTTACAGGAAAGGTACCAAAACTACATAGAGAAACCCTATCACGAAAAACCAAAAAAAAAAAAAAAAAATTGTTCCTCTCCACCCTTGCTAGTACTTGTTATGGCCAGTCATTTAATTTTTTTCTAGACCTCATAGTTCAAATTTGCATTTGCCTAATAAAGATGTTAAGTATTTTTTCATATGTGTATTTGCCACCCATATATCTTCAGTGAAGTATTTGTAAATCTTGTTTGTAAGTCTTGTTTAAAAAGTTATTGTTGGTGTTAAAAGGTATTGGAGTCTAGGCTAACTTCAAACTTGCAGCCCACTTCAGCCTCTGAAGTATTGGGACTACAAGCATGGGCCACTCCACTCAGTTTTGTAAGAGGTTTTAGGTTTTTTTGGTTTTTGGCGGGGGAGTTCGAGACAGGGTTTCTCTGTGAAGCTTTGCGCCTTTCCTGGAACTCACTCTGTAGCCCAGACTGGCCTTGAACTCACAGAGATCCCCCTGCCTCTGCCTCCCCAGTGCTGGGATTAAAGGCATGCGCGGCCGCTACCACCACCGCCGCCGCCGCTGCCTCCACCGCCACCCGGCTTTTTTTTTTTTAATATAATAGCAGAATGTCGTTAGAGAAAAGTATTGAAAATATTTTCACATATTCTCTTACAAATGTTTTGATAAGCAGTATTAGATTTTATCTATTTCTTTGTTATTTGGCATTTCTTGCATTCCTGTACTAAATTGCGTCATTTTCGGCGCCCACTCCCTTCTCTCATGCTCCTCCTTCTCCCACTGGAGCACTTCTCATCAGGTCTCCCTCCTACCTTCATGTCGTTTTTAGTTTTTATAAACAATAATGATTTTAATAGGAAAATAATTATTTTTATTATTAATAATGACTTTACCAGTTGGGGTTGTGTTATATATAAGAAATTTTTGTCTAGCCAAATCACAAAAGTTGTATATTTTCTATCTTTGAAAATTTTATAGTTTTAGGTTTAACAACTGATATCATTTGAGTTTTTATAATACAGTGCAAGTTACAGGTGAAAGTAATTTTTTTTTTGATCAGGACAACATCCAGAAGTTCCATTATTATTTATTGACAAGGTTCTTCTTTCTCCACTTGGCTACCTTTATGTATTTGTCAAAAATCAGTTGTCGCCGGGCGGTGGTGGCGCACGCCTTTAATCCCAGCACTCGGGAGGCAGAGCCAGGCGGATCTCTGTGAGTTCGAGGCCAGCCTGGGCTACAGAGTGAGTTCCAGGATAGGCTCCAAAGCTACACAGAGAAACCCTGTCTCGAAAAACAACATTTTAAAGTACTTTTCCGCCGGGCGGTGGTGGCGTATGCCTTTAATCCCAGCACTCGGGAGGCAGAGCCAGGCGGATCTCTGTGAGTTCGAGGCCAGCCTGGACTACCAAGTGAGTTCCAGGAAAGGCACAAAGCTACACAGAGAAAACCTGTCTCGAAAAATCAAAAAAAAAAAAAAATCAGTTGTCCCATATTTCATTTAAGAATCTCCTATTTGACTGTAAGCACCAAAAAATTAAAAGCTATAACTTTTGAATATTTTATACCCATATTATTGTTTCTGTATAAATTTAATATGTAACCCAAACAGTATCTGTGTGTATATATATATATATATATATATATATATATATATATATATATATATTTATTTTTTTTTTTTTCCTGGAATCTACCATGTTCCATTGATCCACTTGTATATCTTAATCTTGATGCCATGATGTCTTATAATTACT